TCCAGCTGAACACTCGCGGTAGCGCTGGAGGACATGGTGGAGAGTGCCACTGTTCCTTCACTGTTGTTTTACTCCCCGTCTCAAACCAGCATGGCTGTAATTACTGTCAGCCAAAGTCTCTATGTGTGTGTGTGTGTGTGTGTTCTTCTTTGGTCAGCTCTGGCTCTAAAACCAGTTATTTCACAGTACTTTAACGTTTAGGTAGTGACAGAAAGGTATGCACCTTTATTGACTAGAGCAACAGTTGCCAGCAGAGTCTTAAGTCCTTCTCTGGTGACTGTCTGGCCATGTTGGATTAATAAATTCTTGGAGAGTTGAGCTGTGAAAAATTTCCTGAAAGCAATATCAGTGGTTAAATATTACTGATTCTACAGTAGTACATAAAGATGCCAGCTGGGAGCATATCAAACAAAAATGCACCAAAGGCCAACACGAGTATATCAAGCCAAAACACGGGCTTGGTTTACAGCAGCCACAAAATCAGGATTTCATTTCTTTCTCGACTGTAACTGATTTTCCATTGTGGGGAACATGAAAGCCTGGAAAATAACCCACTGCTGCACAAAAACATTTCTGTTTGAATTTTTTCGTTTGTTTTGTTTTGTTTGTGAGTCGACATACAGCTCCTTGTTTTCTTACAAAATATCCCCATACGTCCTGAGCAAAAGGAAACGCTCTCCTCTATAGTCTCTTCCAGAGATCAACAACTTATTGTTTTGTCTTATATTTCTTGAATTTTCAGTAAAATGCAGTATTCCAGTCCAATTTATTTGTCTTCATTTTGCTGGTTTCAGTTAAAAGTTGCTTGCATTGGCCTTACAATCAATCTCATTGGGCAAAATTAAAAGCACAGCATTCATTGAATGGGCTAGTTCTCTGGTTCAGCATTTCAGCTGTTTTTTCTGTAAAGTTGTTGATTATACTGCAAGTGTCCCTCACCAACTGGTAGCACAGCACGGTACAGTGTAACTACCAGCAGATGAATTCCCAAAGGAATTTGGCTCCAAAATGTTACAAAAACTGTCAAAGTGCTTGTGTTTAACAGCTTAATGATACATCCAGCGCACCATGCCAAGGTCAAACAGACTTAAATAATAAGAATTTGGGTGAAACTAATAGTCTTTTCTTCAAAAATTAAGTAAAGGTTTCATAAATCATTCATACACAAACTATGAAATAGCCTTTCATTTTAGGTTGACAATAGCTTAAACTTTACTAAAGTCTCAATCTGACAGATACTGGGTAGCAACTTGATTTGTTTCAATTACAGAAAATCTCATGGTTCAAGCTCTGCCTTCGTGTGAGGTCAAACTTTTCACCTGGTTGAATAAACTCAACAGTTAACTAGAGCACATCCCATCAGTCCTGATTGGTGTGGGGTACCTCATTAAACTTCAACGATTCTATCTAAAAGAAATAAAATGCCTGATGCTTTGCTTGAGATCCTGAAAAGCTTCCACTCTGTGAAGAACTCACCCCAGTCCTTTTAAGCTGTTTTGAGAAATATAAAAATGATTTATATTTTTTCATGAGATCTAATTATGCTTAATACTTTGGATATGCTAGCAGGTCCAGCTGTTATTTTAAACATGAACAACTAGCTGTGTTTCCAAATGTGCACAAATCTTTTTCTATATTCTGCTATTGTCGATGAAACACAATTTTGTGTTTGCCTTCATTAAGAAATTAACTTAATAAAATCCAAAATCATGGCAATGATGGATGTAAACAATTACATAATACATATTCATAATTTAGACATGGTGGCAGCACTCATCGATCAGTTTGCGTTTTATTCAGACGTTGAAGCAACAAGCTACTTGGGAGCGGATATGTATGCAGCATTTTGGAGAAATTGTAGTGGGAGATTTTACAGAAGAGTTTTGGATTCAACACGTTGGAATGACACAACTTTTTATGAACTGTGTGATGCTGTGAGAGCTCTGTTGGAACCTGCTGCACATTGTCAAAAAAAACCCAAACATGTCTTCTTTGTGGTTTTCACCAGTAGTAACATATAACCTACAGTATGCAATGTGACAAAAGTTTTTTCCATTGCACTTTTGCAAAACATCCATTGCACTAGATGTTTTGTGAACATCTAGTTTGATAAAAACTAGATGTTTTTATCAAACATTTAGTTTGATAAACCACCTCATTTCTAGCACAAAAACGTTTTATTGAAAAACCTTTTGATATTGATATGTTTTCCATTGAGGATTGTGTTTCCATTTTAATGTGTAATTTCAGTTTGTGTAATTTAATGGAAACATAGCTGCAATTTGAGAAGCCATAAATTCTTCTTCATATTCAGCTCTTTGTTCTCTGCTCTCTAACAAGATCTTATTTCAAACGCCTTCTCATCCGTACAAGCAGCTGTAAACAGAAGGAATATACAGCCTGTCAACACATTTGAAGTGTAAGCTACTCCAATCACAAGTTTGAGTTTATGCAAAAAGTGCTCAGCAATTTTGTATTTCGCCAGCTTCGTTCAAATTTTGTTTCACGTAAAGAATTGACATGCAGACTATTGTTTATGTTTGTTATCGTAAGATTTGTAGCTTTAATGGTGCTCACGTTAATGCTGATTAAGCAGCTGCTCTACAGATATATAATATATCGGATTTGGTGTGAAAAATGCCATCTGTATTCCACTGCAGAGCCCATGTTAAGTGAAGAGTTGCCTAACGCAGCGCACAGGGGAGGCAGAAAACACCATCATCCATCATCTCCGGTTTTGCTGGAACACATGAATAATTGGTCAGTGTGGCCTGTTTTGATGCGGCACACCAGAACTATTTGTTTTGATGATGATTCTCGAGACACCGTGCAACATGGCAAAGAATAATCTCAGCGTGAACCACACATTTATTCTACATAATTTGTGATGTCACTGCTGGAACATCTTGTTTCCCCCACTGCGCTGGTAGAGTTTGTGAGGTTGGAAAGAAAGAGAGAGACAGAGAGAGAAAAAGAAAAGTGTTTTCTATTTCTCTTTCAGTCAGTTCTTTATTTTCTTTTATTTAAATTTGCAATTTAAGTCAAAGCTTTTGCAAAATGTAAATGAGCCCAATGGTATTGGAAAGTAGAGCAAAAAATATATAGGTTGCACCTTCAAGAATTCAATTTTTCTGAGTAAATATGAGAGGACTTACATCTTAGCAGCTCACTCTGAAGATTAAATAAAGCCTAAGACCTAGAGGATTATATAAAGAAAAAAAAAAGAGTGAGCAGTGGTGCCTCTCATTTTCCTCAATCTCAGTGCAAGGCATGGTTATTTCTGTGGACCTATAAGTTGCGGCCAGCTATTCTTGTTGCAGGCATATGTGCCACTGATGGGCTTGGGTTTCCGAAATCCTTTGCTTTATGCTAATCAAATGCACTGTGGCAGGCATAAAACTCCGGTGCGGTCGGAGTTGGCATGTCTACTCTACACTCAGTCTCTACAAAGTTGCAATTACAGTGGGAGTGAGTGCTGAACGCTGCCTATAATGGAGAATGGAGCAATTCCCCCCATCCCCCCCTTTCTGCTCATGCCTTGTTTGTGACTTTGGTGCAAAATTACATTAACAAGAAACTCAAGACTTCAGTTTGTACTTTCACTATTAAGCTTCTCTCTGGGATTGATGTCACATGAAATCAGTCATCTTTTTTTTTTTTTAATCGAATGAAAGAAGTCCATTGCAACATCCAAACTAACAGCAAAAGCTTTTCTAAACTTTCTGTGGTGTCTGATGTCTGACTGGGCCATCTATTTATTCAGCTTGTGGAGAAACTAAAAGTAGGGTGTCAGGCCTGCACTGTTGTATGGGTACTATTTGCAGATCTTTGTGATATTTCACACATGTCACAGTATAGGGAGAGGGGGCTGTCTGGCAACGCAGAAGACCACAGGCAAAGTGCTCCCCCAAACTCAGACATGTTGCTTAAACTGATGAGGTAACTAGCGGGGTTCGGATTAGTTCACCTCACGGTGAGCTGTAGGATTGTTAAAGTTGTTGCCACCTCTTTTTTTTCAGTCAGATGCTGTTTCCATTACTTTCTACCATCCCAAACAACAGTTTGCCAGCTGTTGTTCCTCCCAGAGTAGGAAGAAACAATTAATGAAAATGACAATGATTCTTACTGAGTGGCTTGTTTTACAAAACTTACTGCAAAAAGTGACCCTGCCAGGAACGGCTGTCTGCACTTCAAGCACAAAAATTTTACAAGAGAAGCATTATCAAAACTGCTTCCATGTCTGCATGCTTTGTGGTGATGCAGTTGTATTTCACAAGGTTGCAACAAACAGTTGCAACATGTTTTCATCAATGGACTTTAAAGTATAGAAGCAAAAAAATGGAAATATTTAAGCAACAAATGTCATTATGAAAAACTAATGAACATTCTGACTTCAATCAAGTCAATGTGGCCAAACTCTGGCAAGTTCCAGTTGTCTGTCACTGGGTCTGTCTTCATGGTCTGTCACACTAAACAGTAAATCAATTAATTGCATGATAGAGTAAAAGAAACTCAATGATTTTCATTTGCTTGATGTAGCATTTATCTCTTTTTTTCTCTCTCTTTTTTTTACCAAAAACTGAATGATAACCTGGTGTTTTGGTCTCATCTATCAATTTGTTAAAAGATCATTTTGTTTACGGAGGCTTCATAATTTATTTTATTTGTTTTCTTAGTTTATTTTACATTTTCCAAATGTCATCTAGATCATTTAAATGTTCATTTGAATTTAAAGTTTATTGGTCTTTGAGAATGGTTTGTGCAATTTTGTGCCGTTATTACTGTTGTTTTACTTGAAAATGATCTCAAAACAATAATGTTCTCATACATGGCTATAAGTTCTGGGACAATTTATCGTCCAACAAAATTTATCACAACAGGCATACAAACCTCACTTAATAATAGAAAGTGAGTTATTTCTTTTTATTATTTGCATCACTTATTTGTCTTATATTTATATCTTTCAATGTATTTCCTTTGTTGTTAATTGTCTCCAATAGGTTTGGTTTCCACCACGTCAAGGAAACTTGACAGGGAGCAACAAGACGAGCACATACTTGAGGTAAACTTTTTTTAATTTTTTTACCGATATTTCCCTCTCGATCTTATTACTATGAGAATAATTTAGTTTGAAATTAATTAATGTGCAATCATCATAATAAGGGAAAATGGAAAGGTTAACATATTCAGCTACTTAGAACAAGGGAGAGAAAAAAAAACACAAAATTGAACTGGGGATCTTGGGATTTTCCGTCTGTGAGGTTTGGCCTTTCCAGGCCAACTTTGACCGAATGCCACATGTTGCCAACCGAGAAGTCTTCATAGATATGCAAGAACGGTCTTTCAGGAGTCATTTCTCCTACCGATTTCCAGGCAGGGCAGAGAGAGAGAGAGATAGAGACGGAGGTGTGTGGGAGAGGCTGGTGACTGTTCCTTTGTTCTTTCCCAATGTTCCGTCTCATGGAGGATGGAGCAGGCTGAGACAGGAAACTACTGTAAACCTACCAGGCCAATGTCTAAACTTGTGGCATTTAATTGAGCACATTTCTGCCCTCCCTCAATGCCTCCCTTCCTCTTTCATACCACAAATCCAATGTTTGTAATCACTCTTTTAATTGTGTTTCTGTGGACGACAGAGACCAGATTGATCACCTTTTAATTATTGTTGATGATTTCTTTCTTACATTTAGGGTCTGCTGCATCTGTCACAGTTGTAGCTCATGTTTTTAACTACACCAGTTGAACTACAAGACTCAGAACAAAATATAGGAAAGTATATAGTGAAGAGTAGAGAAATATAGTTTATTTGTAATGTTGTAGATAACATCACAATACCATATCTACTCTACCCAGTACTGTAGATTGCTACATCTTCCATGTGAGTAAAGTTGTCAGCATAAAAGGTAGTGGTGTCATTCAAGACCAACTTCCAACTCAGCTGTATTTGAATCTTTTTGAATGCTTTTAGAGACACTTGATACCAATGTTAAGCAGTATCCATAATTTGCTAGTGACTAGATTTCTGCTCTCAATTTGAAATTTTGAAAGGTATTTACTATTTTTTCTCAGTCCCTTCATAAACTGCCTTTTCATTGCTAATGTGCGCAAATCTTTGTCTATATTATGCTGATAACAAATATAGACTATTTTGCAGCTGTAATATTTCAATAAATAAGAAATTAAATCAAATTAACATAATTTATCATCAAAAATAAGTCATTAAAAATCAAGGCAGCAATGGGTGTAAACAGAATTGTGAGATATATTCATAATGTCAGTAGTTCAGTATGTAACAGTAGTGCTCATCGTCTTTCATTCGTCAAAGGAAACGTCAGCATCTTATGTTGGCATTGGAGTGACAAGTCCCGTCTATTTAGGAGTGGCTATGTATGCAGCGTTTTGGAAACACTGTAGTCAGCCATTTTACAGAAGACCTATGGATTCAACACGTTGGAATGACACAACTTTTTAAGAACCGTGATGCTGTCAGAGATCTGGTGGAGTCAGCTGCACGTTGTCCTAAAAAAACAAAAACAAAACATCAGATTTTTTGATTTTTTTTTAAATTGGTGTGTTCACACTAAGCAGGTTTGTTTTTAATATTCCAGTTCTGGTTATTGGAAATGCAGCTATAGATGAGGGGTGCCCCAAAGCTGTGATCTAAGAGTAAATTGTCATTGTTGCAGTTGATGCCACAGAAAAATCAACATTCTGATTAGTATTCAGAAAACAGAAAATGTGTTTCCCTGCTCCAGCTGTGTCTGTCCAGTTAATACAAAACTGTCTTAAAGACGCATCGAAAGGAGATCAATTTCCCATAAAAAAGGAAGTTTTACATCGTTGTTGACTATCACTGTATTAGCAGTAACCTGCTTTTTATTCTTTAGAGAGAATTATTTCTGTCAAAGTTACTTTCTCAGGTGACAACCTACCCGCCACAACAGGACTTTGAGAATGTGTTTCACAACTGGGAGTCATCCATGTTTGTTGGGATATTGGTAACTGTAATGTTGGCATGGAACTGTCTTTACTTTGTTTCTAGAAAAGCCTGCAAATTCCAGCCTCATGTCATCTTACTGAAGCAAAATAATCCAAGTTTCCCTACACTAGGTGTGTTTCCACAAACAAACCTTCTCCTCGTCTCAGGATGTTGCCCCAGAAACATGCCCTAGTTAAGCATTTACTCTGAACTTTTAAATGGAGGTTTGTGTAAGGAGGATGTTAAACATTTCAAAGTTCAAAATGCCCTAAAGTTCATATGTTCTGATATGTTTAGTCGTAAAAGATATCACCGTCTGTTTTCAGCTGTTTTTGGTGAAAAAACAAATAAATCCTTTGTTTAGAGTGATAACTAGAGATTTAATGTTGGGTTTTAAAGCCGTTTATTCTCTGTGGCAGAAATAAAAGAACCACAACTACTGTGGCTCCTCAGCACATTTATAGGAAACAAGATGCTGCTGCTGCTGCATCTGCATCTGTGTTCTTATGCCTCTTTGGTACACGCCCCAAGTTTTATTTATGAAATATATATGCAGATTATGTCCTGTTCTGACTTTGATGTGATTATGATACACTTTCACATTTTGTTTCTGAGAGTCCTGCACAAGGAGGAGCTTCTGTGCAGACGGCCCAGGAAAACAAGTTCTGGAAAAAAAAAAATATCCTGGGTTCCTAGTCAAAGTGGGCCTAATAACATCTGTGTTATTTTAGGATCCAATATAAACTTTGGATACTTTTACATGTTTCAGTGTTCATGCTAAAAACCAAAGCAGACAGGGCCTTTAGATCTGTCTGGGACTATGAACTATTCCCCACAGAAGGTTTTTTCCTTGTGTTTGCTGCTTCTGGTTTGCTTTTAATTAGTATTTGAACTGTGCTTTACTTACTTATTGGTTTTCTTTTATTGGCTACTTATAATTATACTTTTCATGTGAGGCATTTTGTTGGAACTGAAGTTATTCTTAAATGTACTTTACAAATTATTATAAATTACTGCATCACAGAATTTTAATGAAAGATGTAGTTTTGTGCATAAAAGCATTTTTAAAAGTTTCATACCACATTTCATTTAAGTGGCTTTGTTGCTCACTTTGAGTGGGATAGTTTCAAGAAAACGAGTGATGTCAGCTTTGCTATTTCACTGAAACCATAGAAACAAAGGCAATTTGTTCCCGTGTATCTTGCATTGTTTAAAATTCAAAATTCAACAAGAAGCTCTTTATGTTGCTATTTAAGAAACCGGAGATTTTTCTTAAATCTCTATTTAAGAAAAAGAGATTTTTTTTTTCTTTTGCAAAATGTTGCAGAGGAGTTTTACTTCTACAGCGACTTGTTGCAGGATAAGAAACTAAACATGTGGAACATGCGCAGCAATTAGAGTGGGGGCAGTGTCGGCATTGTTTCCACTAAATGCCAAGACGAGGTGGAGGGAACACAGCAGGCCTTCAGCTTTTATGATGAGGAATATGGGGGTTGGTAGCTGTCGTATGTCTGTGTGTGTCTGTGTGAGAGAGAGAGAGAGCTAAAAGCAGTGGGGGAATTTCAAAAAGAGGCAAAGCTGCTCTTGTTGTTCCGGGTCTGGGCTCAAGCGGCAGGATCAGAGACCTTCATCCAAAGGAAGGGGGTGAGAGGGGGAGTGAGAGGGGGTCGGAAGGGCTTGGTAAACAGCAAAAGTGGGACATGCCAGGACATGCCTATTACTCAGGCCTGGGACTGCATGGAACTGTTGTGATGTTAAAGCAGAGGTAAATGGGCCGTTCACATCTGTTGCCTAGAGCCTTTGCCAACATGCATTCTGGCCGATTTAGCTGATATTCGGTCCTGTCCACTGCATTTACACACAGAAATATCTGTAAATATATTTATATATATCCATTTTCAATCTATCCATTTTCTGACACCCTTGTCCTTAGTGGGGTCAGGAGGTGCTGGTGCCTAAATCCAGCTAATGTTCCAAGCGAGAGGCAGGGTCACCCTGGACAGGTCGCCAGTCTGTCGCAGGGCAACAAAGAAACAGACAGGACAAACAACCATGCACACACACACACACACACGCACGCACACGCACACACACACACACACACACACACACACACACACACGTACACACACACACACACACACACACACACACACACACACACAAGTAGAACATGCAAAGTTCATGCAGAAAGACCACGGGCAGGTTGGTGCTTAAATGTTTCTCCGCCATTAGCACATTGAGAGGCACTGTCATTCTAACAAGCCTAAATATTCTGTCTATAAATGTTATCAATATTTTCATTTGCCATAAGTTGAAAAGTTCTGATTTTGAGCAAAAATAAAGGCTTGAAAATATCCATGTGAAATTAAACAAATAATATTTTTTACTTTGTGAGTTGAAATAAATCAACTTTACATTTATATTAACATTTTTCAAACAGAGCCAGTTTCTTAAATCATTTGAAAACTTCTCTGTTTAGGTGTTTTACACACAAGTTTTTCCCAAAAAATATTTTTCTTAGGTGTTTTTTCTTAACAAACACTTGTTTCCAGAAAAGCCTTCTTCCACATTAAAACGTCCACAATGAGCCAAAACGCCCAGAACCGACGGTGGGGTCTGGGATGTGTGCTGCATGGACATCAGAGAAGGTGTGGTGTGGCGGGCTCATAAAGCTTAAAGCTTGCAATGTGCTCTGATGATGTCATCACGTTTAAAACCCTGTTTGTTGGTTAAAAACCCAAAATCACCATTAAAGAATTTCAAAACAGGCACTTTGGCTTATTTGCTGTAGATTAGCTTGTTTAATGTGCGTAAGTTTAAAAATAACTAGCAGATCATGGCAACAGTAAAACATAGCGACAGCATTCCTAACGGTTCCGCTTTTTTGTTTTTGTTTTTTTAACCCCATGCAGAATACCAGAGAGCTGGAAAACAAATTTGTTAATATTTTGTTTATTACGAAATTTTCTGTGACACTGCGCAGGAAAAACACAAACACCCTGCATCATCCCTCGGAGAGACATTCTCGTTCAAGTTTCTTGTAAGCCGGTTAAATTGACTCCGCTCATGTGAGCAGCGCAGACAGCTGCAGACACTGTGAGAAAAGCACAAACACATTACTTTAGTAATTGAAAGTATGGCAGCAAATGGTGTGTGTGTGGCGGCAGACTGCTGACTGGTTTAGTTAAGTACTTAGCAGATGGTTTTAAATGACTGACATTTGTTCCTTCACTTAAATTGTATTTTTTTTTTTTCTCAGCTCAGAGCTGGAAATGGTGGCACTTCTTCCAGCACCCAGTAATCCCTGATCCTATTTTTCTGTGGGATTTAGTTTTGTTTGTTTAGGTCAGCCTGTGGCTGCTATTCTTTTCAGTAAGCTTCAGGGATTGTAAGCTCATCTGACAAAAGTCACGATGATGTGGTGAATCATTGTTCCAAAAAAAAAAAAAAAAAGCCTTACAGAGCAACTACCAACATATGACTTCAGTCAAGGCTCTATAAAGGTTTTTTTTATTATTATTTTCACATTGTCTTTTATCTGGAGCACTTCAGAGGTTGAGCAACCCCCGGTCTTTAACTCAGAGCAATAAGTCATTTTGTTTACTTTCAGCTCAGCAGAGTGAGTGCAGCTGGTGTTTCAATGATACATATGAAAATGTTTCATACCTCCGATAGATTTAGGCTTAAAATCATTTTCAGTAAACCAAGAAGTTTATACCTTAAATGATAGCAAAAAGAATGATCAGTTTTAGCTTTTGTTCACTTTTATTAAAAACTAGCATGGAAACCTTGGTTTTCATCCTCTCTTCTTGCATGTTTTCACTGCTATTATAAAGATTTATCCTTTGTGATGAGCTCCAGGTCACTCGGGATGGAATGTCTCGTCTCTTAATCATCACCCTAATCTTTAGTTTCTTTGTCGGATTCTTTGTCAAATCAGGTCTCTTGTTTGGGCGACTCCAAAACATAAAAAAATAAACATTAATATTGATTTATAGTCAGACTAAATTTGACAGACTACTGCTACATCTTCCAGAGGTATGAATAATTCTGGGCTAATCTTTTGTTTTATCAATGTTACAGTAACACAGCCTACTTTTGATTGTCCAAAATGTATAAAAATTAAATCATGGTAATTTTTTTCATTTTCCCTGATTAACTGTTATAAATTTATTAAAAATCAATTAATTGTTTATTCGGACAACAAAGGAATAAGATCTTTGTTTGATCACTAAATACACATCTATTACATATTTAGTTATTATTCTGATGGATACTTATTTATTTATTAATTTAACATATTTTATATTGCATACTTTATTCTAAAATATTTTTTTTATTAATTTTTTTGCTCCTGATTGTTGTTTTTTTTGTTGTATATTTTTTTAGATTTTTTTTGGAGCATATATACTTTTACAAAACATTCAGAGGTTTCTGATTGGATATATATACTGTGACTATAAAAGAAATCTGATTATTTTCAAAGTCCACTCCCAGGTTATGACACCAAAAAACAGAATAGAGACGTTGAGAATGCCAGAGATGGGGTGTGATATAAAGTTGGCTGAATAAGATAATATTTCAACTTCCTAGATTTAAAAATCTCTGTTGTGTCTCCTCAGATAACCATCACTGACCATGGCGTTCCTCCCAAATCCACCACTGTCCGCGTCATCGTCCAGGTCCTGGATGACAACGACAACAGGCCGCTGTTCCTGGAGAAGATCTACAAGATCCGACTGCCAGAGCGCGAGAGACCCGAGAGAGAGCGAGCCACCAAGAGAGACCCCGTGTATCGGGTGATTGCATCGGATCGGGACGTTGGGCCCAACGCCGAAATTTCCTACAGCATTGAGGAAGGAGACGAACATGGCAAGTTTTTTATTGAGCCCAAGACCGGCCTGGTGTCGTCCAAGAAGTTCTCCTCTGCCGGAGAATACGACATCCTCACGGTGAGCGTTTACCCAGAAAGGTTTATGATCAGAGTCGCCCATTAAGCTGTAAAAAGTGACAGCAGATGCTGTTTTATTATTTTACTGTTTTATTATCCTGTTTTTCTCTCCAGCTGCATGACTTTTCTTTCGTTTTTGTTTTTCTTTACCCCACCTTATTCTGGTAGGAATGCAGTGTTAATTAGTCCACATGCAGAATACAAGTGTAGAGGAAACAGAAAACAGATTTTATTCCTTGTTTGTCTCACTATGAGCTTCTTTTCTCAGGTGTTGATGCGACATTACACTTCAACTGTCAAATGTCTCTTCACCGTGTCACCGCAATGCAAAGATCTTTCTTTCCAAAGATCACTTGGAAGTAAACGTGTTATGTGTGTGAAAACTATCTCTGCTTTATCTTCTAAGTTCCTCCATCACATGTTGCTGGTGATGATTGTCATTTTGTAAAGTTGTTGGTGCCTTTTCTTAAAAACATACTCTGCTGTAAAAAAATGCTACTTACTAAACTTAAGTTCACTTTCAAGAGAAAACTACATAGAAGATTTAATACACAAAATGTCAGCTATTGTGTTAGAGTTCTGAATTATCTGATGGTAGGCCCATCACCATAACACATTTTCCTGGATGATAAATTGTCCCAGAATCTGTTCGATTTAACTTTAAGGAAAGGTGTGGTCAGAAGCTCATTTCCAAGTTAAATCCTAACAAAGAGCTGTTTTTTTTCTTACCCCTTTTCTCAGATTAAAGCGGTCGACAACGGACGACCTCAGAAATCGTCTACTTGTCGCCTTCACATCGAGTGGATTCCCAAACCAGAGGTGCCAGCTGATGCATCTCCCCTGCGGTTCGAGGAGTTTCCCTTCACCTTTTCGGTCATGGAAAGTGACCCGGTGGCACACATGGTGGGCGTTGTTGCCACCGAGTCCTCTGATGTTCCAGTGTGGTTCGAGATCACAGGTAGCGCCTGTTTGTGTATTATTGCTTAGTTTATGCATGCTGAATAAATACTGGCTTGTAGTTAAACAACACTGTAGGACTAATATAGTGAATGTGTTTCTTCTGCTGCTTGAGTGTTTTTTGTTAATTAATTTAGCTTTTAGCTTTAAAATAGTGCAGACAATAAGAGTATCACCTTAGTCCTTTGATAAGATTGCATAGATTTAGGTAAGGTAGATTGAGTAAAATGGAGTAGAATGACAGCTAAATTAGCAAAAGCTAACATAGCTACTTAATATTTTTTAAATGTTATTTTACCCAATAAGACTTTTTAATTACTTTTATGAGGACAGTTCCATAAAAGCATTTTGTAGATTTTTCTGCGGTACACTGAGTAAAATGAAACTGACTCCCTCAGATGACCTTGCTGCTTATTGCTGAATTGCTTACTACTGTAAGTTCACAGCAGCGAAATACTAAGATCAGCATCTCAAACATAAATACTTTGACCTTTATGCATGTAACAGCCATGTTTGATTTTGGATAGGGGGCCTCCAATTCAGAATTAAGACTTGAGTTGGGATTTTTCAGTTTTGGAACCCAAACATCCACATTGACAGTAGCAGTTTAAGGTGATTCAGGATGTGTTCTGGATAACTCATTGGGAGGTTTAACAGAGACATTCAAGCGACAGAGGACCTAAGAGCCAAACCAGAATTTGTAATATCTCCTTTTACCTCCACCACCCAATCCCAGAGAAGCAACTAGAAAGTTCTGACTTCAGAGGACAAAGTGAAAGCTTGATCAGCAGCCTTTAAGAATGTCAGACAACCTTAAACCTCGCTTCACAATAATAGATGAACACAGTAAGAAATCTTGATCAACACCACCTTCATTTTGCTGTCTGAGCTATTTGTCCACAAGCAAACAAATTAAAAAGTGGAAAAGACATTTTCCCTTCAAATTTGATATTTTTATGCTGCTTTTGTCAACAATAAGAACACATATTGTCTCATAAACACTCCGAAGCTGCACAGTTTCCCTCAGTTTCTGTTTTTGTCCTTGATAGTTTGACTCAATTGAATTTGCCATTCCCTTTACAATCTTAATTAATTTACTTTCCTCTTATTTTTTCTGTTTAAGTACACTTTGCCACATAGCTGTGTTTTTGAGTGTCCAAACATAATTCTTCTCCTCCTAAGTGTCCCTTTTTAACTCTCAACATCCACTGTACACATGAAAAGATTTTAAAATGCCTTCCTTCAAAAAGAAATGCTGGCTCCTCTCCCTCTTCCTCTCCCTCTGCCTGTTTTCCTTCTAATCAAAGTCTGACTGACACGTCTCCTTTTTCTCTTCTCCTCTTTGTGCTCTTTCATTGCTTTCCCTTTTTCTCTGGAATGTTCTGTGTGGTTGGATTGTTGCAAGACGGCAGTGAGGATTCTGAGATGTTTTACATCCTTCAGATGGCTTGTGACCACAACTGTACAGCAGAAGGTATCTGCTGGGATCTCCTAATAGGCTGTGCTGTATTAAGAGATCATGTTGACGTTGTCTGTCTCTGGTGCTACCTGTTGGTTGTGGTTGGCATGCAGTCAATGTTTTCAGTTTTAGTTTTCATCTGCTGAAGTGTAATGTGTATGGTGTTGCTACAAACATATTAGTTTGACCACACTGTTGATACTTAGCTTAAATAACTGAATAAAAGCAAAGCAATATCGCTAATTAGTAACATCAGCATTAGTTTGTGTTTGTTAAACATTGATATTTATGTTCTGCTCTCTTAGTTTCTCTAACCTTGTGAAAATAGGTGAAGCTACATCAGGAATTTCCTTTAATCTTTTCATTTTCCTTTTTTTTTTTTTTTGTTGTTTGCATGAAAAAAAATTGCAGGTGGTAATTACGACAGCCGCTTTGACGTGGGCAAGGCCAGTGGAACCTTGATTGTTGCACGGCCCCTGGACGCAGAGCAGAAATCAAATTACAACCTGACAGTGGAAGCCACAGATGGGACACGAACTGTCAGCACTCAGGTAATTGAAACACTAATGAAACAGTTGGAGGCTGATGAGGCAGTTGTCATGGTTCTGTTTTCCTCATGTGAGGAATGGTGGGAGTGGAGAGACGGGTTATTAGTACATCAAATGATCTGTTGGATGATAATGATGTTATGACGCTATCACTGCTTTGAACTGGTGAACAGGTAAAAGAAAAAAAAATTAGTTTTTCGGTTTAAGTGTGTTCTTTTATTCTTAAAAAATGAGGGGACATTCTTTAACAATACTTCATTTGGGAGCTTTGCTCCAGTATCGGTGTCTCTCTTAGTTATTTCTGGGGCAGAGTTGTTATAATGTTGCAGGCAGCTAATCAGATTTTTTTTCTTCGGGATGCACTATATTATCGTCATGGTAGCTGTAAAATTTAATATTGGCCATCGGCCGTTCCATGAAAATAACTGACCGATATAAAAGGAGTTGTTTTTGTGTGTAAACATAATGCAAGTTGAAAGTGTTGCATCATTTTCAGCCTCCTTTGAGCATTTACGTTTGGTAGCAGGCTAAATTTAGAAAGATAATCCAGTATTTTAATTCCACAGTAGAGAAAGCCATATAGTTTCAGTAAGTAAGAATAGAAAAAAAATATAGGTATTGGTATCAGCTATTGGTCAAATGAATTTTAGTATATTGACATATCGGATATGAACCAGAAATCCAATATTGTGCATCCCTATTTTTGTATTACTCATCACTTGCTGTACTTCTCCTTGAATCAGTGAGATTCCCCTCATCTTCTCTGAAGCTGCTTTTTCTGAATAGACAAATAACTAAATGTGGAATAGCTTGCCTTGCACCCCGGCTGACAGTACAAGTGCCACAATAAAAGCTTTTAAGTGTGCAAACCGCCTTCGGTTTTTGTTCCGATGGTCATGCCTTGTCCATGAGATTTTCCGTGTTTTTTACGTGGTAGTTTGGGCCGTGCGGGACGGTGACATTCAAAATCTTTTGTCCTTTGTCCCCTAAAGTGGAGCTTCAGAGGACTATTGCTGGGAAATAATGTATTTGTTGTCAGTCCGTGTGAATACAGCCTTTCATCATCTGGCTGTTGTGCTCCACTGAGCCTTGGACGTGGCGCGTCCTTGCTAGCATTTTGGAGCTCGTCCGCCAAAGCAGCATGTCCTTTAGTGCAAACCCTTAAAAACAGCGACACGGTTCCTGTTTGCTCAGCTGAGATGTTTTGTCTCTTGCGTGCTTTGTCAGAAGCTCTGGCAACAGAAAGTTCTTTAAAAGCCCCTTAGCAACACTTTGTGACATTTTAAGTGAAATTATTCTGTTGATGGTCTGTTTGGTGGTCTCATCATGTTTAACTCACTTCTCCTGCATGGTGTCCTGCTGCGGCCTGCATGATGCCTTTAACAAGACAGAGATTGAAGAGATGTAGAGATTCAAATCTACCAGACTGGCTCATTTGTTGGCCAACTTAAAAAAATTGCATTTTATCATTAATCTAAATTGAATTATATCTCATTTAATACATTAAAACATGAGCGGATCGAGTCAAAATTACTTAGAATGTATGTACATTATTTTAAAATGGATATTTTTACTTCAAATAAAAATACTGAAATAACTTGATTTTACACTGTACTGAAATGAATTAAATGCAAGAGGAAAATTGAAATTTAAATGAAGTGTGCTTAGTAGAATCAAATAAATGAACTGAACTCTTTTAAACCAGATTGAATTTAACTAAGCTGTAATAAATGCATTTAAACAAATAAAAAAAATAATAAAATCAGTTAGATTGAGTGAGCTGAATTGGGCTGAGTCAAACTGAATGTATCTGAAACTTATTGGAATTAACTGAACTGTGTTGAACTTAAATGAATTGAATTAGAACATATATTAAGTCACACAGAGGTGAATTAATTTGGATTTGAAATTAATGAAAATAAATTGAACCAATTGAGTTCAGTTAATTTATCTGAACTGAAATGACAGTTTGAACTGGTCTCAGCTAATTTCAGCTGAACACTACTGAATTTCTTTGAATTGACTTGATTTTAAATAGGTTGGTGGAAAAACACCCTCTTATTTTTATTTCCATTTAAATGAAAATAAATAAAATATTTGTACGTATTTCATTTTTTTAATTTGAAATAGCTTTTTGGAGAACAAAGGAGGACCAAAGTAAAATTTCTTCTTTATGACACAAAACTGGCAGATATAATAAATTGCTTTGGTCTAAATGGTGCCTTCGAACCAGATGTTGCAGAACAAATGAAGTAACTAACAGCAGCAGGCAGCTTTTCCCTCACAGCTCAGGTTTAAGCATGTATTGCGGAAACTGATCCGCTCCTCTGCTAATGAATGCTCATATGTGTGACAATATAAACCCAGATTACTGTGGGTCAGCTGTTTGGGAGAGGACATACTGTATTTTTGCTCTACACACCATTTATTGCAAAATAAATTGCTGCAATTGGCCACAGCAGTCCTTGACACCACAAATATAAACCAGACCAGGTAAGTAACGTGCCAGTTCACAAACCAGATATTCATTATTTTTTGCAAGAATCTTGAAAAATTAACAGTTGTTCCTATGTTAAAACAGAAAAAAGTTAATTGCTGTGAACAAAAACACAGTTTTGTTATTGTGGTGTTTCCATTAAATAAGAAACACAAAGTCGATGTCATTAAAAACACGCCATGCCATCATCCTACGACAACCTCCAGTTGTAGATCATGTGACTTGTGTGATGCTAAAAATAGGTTTTTATTGGAGTTTTGCAAAATCATCTCATTTCGGTATGACCAAAAATCACCTCATAAATCACCTCATTCTTGCAGCAAAAACTTTATCAAAAAAGGAGAGGCTTCTCAAAATCATGTGGTTCCATAAAGGGCATTTATTTTACTTTATTTATTTACTTTATTTTTGAAATCTCAAATTGCTTTATAATATGGTCAGTGGAAATGCAGCTACAGATACTAAAAATAGGAAACCAAATCTTTTTCACTCAATAACAACTACTTTGCAATGGAATGTTTTAAACACAGACCAGACCTACAGATATGGATAAAATGATTTTTGAATTGAGTGTTGAAAAGCAAATGGTGACGGAACGTGTATGTATTTAGTTTCATATTGCTTATTTTGCAAGTCACACACAGAAAGGTTCACATATGACACACAATAGAGATTCTTTCACTCTGTCAATCAACAACTGTACTTTACTTACCTGCTACAAAAAGATGAAACGGTCGGCAGAATAATTGACGGGTCTTTGTTTTGGTCAATATGGTGCAACTAAAAAGAACAGTAAAAAAATCAAACAATATTTGGTTTGTTAACTCTGGACTTACTCTGTTTGGGTGAAGCATGGGATTTGTTTTGACTGAAACACAGATCTCCCCTCCCCTTCAAATTAGATCTAGACTGTCATCCACATTGTACCTCGTGAAGCTGAAAGTTAGACTTATCTATTCCTCAAATCAAAGTCATGAGGAGGCTGTGCTGCCAGACAAGCTGGCCTATTTTCTCTCTCTTCAGAATGTTTCTTCTCTTTTTGTTCTTTTTTGCTCTCTAGTCCTCTTTGTGTTTCTTTCTGCTGCGCTCCCTCTGAGCCTCTTCAAACTGCTCTGCGTTTATAGGCCAGATGTGAAAGACCGATGATCAGCTTTAAGAGCAAACAGGAGTGCCGGACCTTGGTGGGTTGTGGACGGTGGTAATCCTGTTTTGGGAACATTGTTGATCGCTCTGTGCCAGTGGCCTGGCTTTCCCCGGAACCTGCCACCTGGCAAGGGGCTTGGCTTCCTGCACAACGAGGACAATGAATATTCACTCATGCCCTGTTCTGGATAAACCACAAAGGAAATTTCATGCTTTATAAGGCTCTGTTTTAAATTTTATCCCTTGCAGTATTTGGGAATAATTTCAAATTATAGTGGCAAGCTGATCTGAAAAAAATGTAGAAGATATCAGATAAGGCTCCAGGGATCCGTTGGTGATAATAGTAGAATGAATTCTGGCCTGTGGGAAGTCTCCAGAAAGTAGTTGGCCACGATTCTGTGTACTTCTCATTCGGCCATCGTATTTCTATGAAGGCGTCTCTAAAGAATCAGCTGATGAAGATGAGGGGAGCCACATTCCAGCTCGGGCACCTCATAGCCAGGAGCCACGCCAACAAGGCAGCCTCGGCATGCAGCCCGGCCTGCCTTCCCCTCCCCTCCACTACCCTCCCACTTCTCAAGCTATACAACATCCTCCCTTGGCTGTTGAGAAGTACCTCAAGCTGTTCTGCTCGCAATCTGTTCCTGGTCTCCTGTTTCTCTTGTTATCTTAGCCCACATTACAAAGCCTTTCTATATATCACTTGAAGGTTTGCTATAATTACATATTTTGCTGCCTTGAGTATTAAAAGTGATTATTGTTCCTCAGTGCTCATTTGCAGTTCATTCCCAGCTACAGCTAATGCTTTAGTGTTGATTTTAAAGGGCATATTTTTCTTATATTCTATTATTTTTCAGTAATGCTTGGGCTTGCTGCATAGAATGCAAGGCAGCCAAGAACGTAACATCTGATACTGTTACTGTTGCATGATGGCATCAACGCAATGCAGTCAGTCTCCACTTCCTTTTTGTCACAACATGACAGTAGATTTGAAGTGTGTGACCTCACACTAATGTCACAGCCAGGAATCACAGGTGGCAGGTAAAACTCACATGTTGTTCTCACCATCATTTAGCTCAGACACGGAGAAAACAAACAAAGCTGCTACCGTTAGATACTGTGGATGAACACTAAGTAGAAAGACAAGTGAGATCTGTGGATCTCTAGGAAGAAATCATTTTCTTACTTGATGAACTTTTTACACACCTGCAGATTATTTCATCAATAGTGTGACATCCTGCTCAAGCTGAGACTGTATGCTCATTCGTCAGAGTTAGGCTATTTCTCACTCTAAAAAGAATTTTTTTCAAGAATCCATTCCTGCAAAATGCATTTGCAACAGAAAGAATGACTATATGTCATTGTATGAGTGAGAAATCTGGAGCCTCACAGTTCCATTTAAAGAATAGATGATCTTTGTAGCATGAGTCTTCAAAGTGGCTTCACATTGATTTGACATATTCCAGTAGAAACTTCCATCATGATTACTGATGCTACATTCATAAATGATAGTGCCTTCCTGTTTTAGTGGGTATTTTTTGTTTTGGAAAAGTGTTTTCAAAAAATATGTTTTAAACAAACAACAAATTGGCCAATTGTGATTCAGGTGGCTTTAGATGTTTTCTTAAAATTTCTTGCTTTTAAGATGTTTTTAAAATATCTGCAATTTGAAGGCTTATATTAAAAGAAGTCAACTGCTGACAGGAAGCAGGTTTTGCTCTGGAAGACAGACTTTAGTTTGAGGAGATTTTATATCCCTTGTTATACCTATACTTTCTTTATATCTCAATTGAAGTCCAGTTAGAAATACATATTTTGCTGCTTTGACTATCAAATATGATTATGCTTGTATTTTATGTTTCATTCACACCCACAGGCCCCTTTGCAAGTTATCAAGTTGATTTTCATTATTTCCCAAACTTGACCCTAAGCATTTCTTAGTTTTTTTTTTTTTTTAAATTGGCGCTTATCTCCCTGACTCTTATCTTTTTTCTTTAATCTTCAGTATATCCATCTGTCATGTTTGTTTCTCAGACCTAGTCGTGTTTCTCTTCATCATTCTGTCTGGAAATCGTGCATACTACAGAGCTTTTCTTTACACCAGTGGAGTCAGTCTGCATCATACTGCTTTGTGATGCATTGGGACAAAGTGCTTTTGAAATGTTACTTCAGTCTTTCTTGCAAAGGAGAAATGTGAGTTTGTGTGTGTATATGTTTGATGTGGGGGTAAATGGGCTTTTTGTGAGACTTTATAATGCGCTGTAGAAAGATGTACTGTAGACGGAGGTGACCGGGTCTCACTCCTTTCGGCTTCTTTGCAGCACTATCAGTTCTTTACACCCTTCTTTTGCTTTTAAAAAAGGCTTTATCTGTCGCTGGCCACATTGAGAACCGTTGTATAGCCTCTTTTGTGTGAAGGCACATGTAAAAGTGCAGAACTGATGTTCTTGTTTTGGTGTGAGTGGGAGGTTGGGTGCATGCTCCATGTGTAGAAAAGGTTGATTTGGAGACACCTGGGATCTGGCGCTATATATTGCTTGGCCCAACATCAGAAGGCAAGCTTGGAGTGAGACCAGATTGTCTCACTGTTTGCTTCCTCAGAGTTAACATTGATTCAGAAGAAACACACTTGTTTTAACTTTTCACGTCCCGATTAGCAGCGTGATATGGGGTTGCTCACAACAGAGGAGCCGTGGAGCGCAGCCAGAATGCAGCTCTGACAGACAGCATGCATCCCGGCGCTCCCCCTGCAAGATGACATCTGTGGGCCTCAGTAGCAATGCCAACATCACAGCACACAGCAGATTGTAAATGTTATCAGTCCTGTCAGGTTGAGGCTATATTTGTCTCTTGTATCAGCTCACAATGACTAACAAACACTCTTAGCGCCACAAACCAAACGGCCAATTGTTTAGACCAGAGATCTGACAAACCCTGGTTAGCTAGTGAGCGGCCACCTGTTCAAGGCTTTTGTGTCCTGGACACCCCCGCTTCCAGCGAGCCGGCACCTTGCAGCTCGGCTTCAACGGTTTTTCTACATGGCATCACCCCCTGGTGTCTGGTATGCAGGTGTCTAATCCCGGCTGATCCGTTTGTTCCCCATGTTTGGCAAGGGTGGAAGCCCCTCGCTGCTCTGGGAAGCAAAGATGGCATTCCGGCAGCTCTCTGTAATCCTCTGTCGGATGTCCAGTAGACGAGTGGCTGATGTTGATAAAACATGCTCTCAGAGGAATTTTACAGTTTGGAGGAGTAAGATTTTTAGTTTACAATGTGGAAAAAATTAATTGCTCAAACAATAACGCATTTTTCAACATAAAAAAAGCTGGACAGTATAGTTGTGAAAAAAACTTATTTTTTTATGAAGAAAAGTTCAGATAATCTCAATTTCTATCTGAATAGAATGTGGTTTTATTTAACTTGGATAACAAATATCTCTCATGTTGTGCTTACTAACAATCAAATTATCGATGATAATTTGTTTCCGTGCTGGGTTAAAAAGTTAAGACCACCTTCTCTGATATAATAAGAGTGGCCCGTTGGATGTACTTCGTAGATTTCTCGCAGAGATTAAAATCTGTTGGTTGATGTAATCTACCAGTCTTTGTGTGAACTATCTTGGCCACCCCTTACATTAAGTTTTGAGACATTTGAGGGGTTCTGGTGTTTAAAGCCCCTATTTTTTTATGTTTTGTTCATAATTAATATTAAAATTGGACATACCCAAAACTCATAGGCTGCTGTATGGTCTATGTTTCAATTTCTCCTAAACAAAGACATATAAGCATGCTTTGACTCCTTTAGTCATCACAGCATAATGAAATAAATTGTTTTGTGCAACTATTAGTTTCCTTTTTACTTAACCTCAGTTCTTTAGTCTGATTCATAAATTATTTTCTCAAATAAACGCTTCTCCACAAAGCTTGCAAATCATCAAGACGTTTTATTCATGCATTGATTTTGTTGTTTAGCATCAAGTGGTGTTCACTAAAAGCTTTTCTGTCTCAGGTATCAATGCAGATATCTGGGCCATTATAATAAAACAGTTAGAATGTATTTATGTGAGGAGAGAAAAAATAAACTAACAGCAGAAACGTGAGAAATGAAGAAGCAGAACAACTATAAATAAACTTCCATAAATTGTTATTCAGCCTGGGTTTCTTATAACTCTTGATGTTGTGGGGTTGTGTTGGTTGTGTTGGTTGGTTGGTTGGTGTGCCTTCACAGCATTATGTTCACATCAGAGTCAGTGCACCCTGGATTGGCATATTGGGGTTTTGGCTTCCCCATTTAAAAAAGGCGACTGAAGGGTTTTGGTTCAACTACAGGGGAATCACACTCCACACACCGGTAAGGTCTATTCTGGAGTGTTGAGGAGGAAGGTCCAGTGGATAGTCAAACCTCGAGTTCAGGAGGAAGAGTGTGGTTTTTGTCCTGTCCGTGGAACGCTGGAGTTCTCCCAACCAGTCTGAATTTGCTTTGCAGACTTGGAGAAAGCATTTCACTGAGTCCTTTGTGAGATAGGGTTCCAGACCCTTTGATATGGGCTGCTATGTCAGTGTATGATTGGTTCCAGAGCTTGGTCCACAATGTGACGTGTAAGTCGAACTGAGGGTTGGACTCCATCAAAGTTGCAATGGTCAATATTCATATCCTTTATCAACAGAAATTCCGGGTGCAGTCAAGGTGTTGAAGGGATCTGCTTTGGTGATCTTAGAATCAAGTCTCTGCTTTTTGCAGATGATGTGGTCCTACTGGCTTCATCAGGTCATGATCTGCAGCTTTCACTGGAGCGGTTCAATCCAGTGTGAAGCAGCCGGGATGAGGATCGGTGCCTCCAAATCTGAGGCCCTGGTCTTGCATCGCAAAGGGTAGATTTCCTTCTCCAGTTCAGAGAAGAGATACTGCCCCAAGTGGAGGAGTCTAAGTATCTCAGGGTCTCTGTCCATCGTCCCCTTTCTTGCTATATTGATAACAGTATCCCACAGCTTGATGCTATCACCATGATGTTTCATGGTGGTCTTGATGTGACCACCAGGTTGTGCTATGTTTGTTTTCCACCACAGATATGTTTTCAAGAATTAAGAGGAAATGCATGCCGCATCCTAAATTTTGATTTGTGACATTTTGTGAAAACCATGTAATTGTGAAAAACATCAAGGTCTATGAAAATGCTTTCAAGCCTCGTGCATGTGCAAATGATTGTTTCATTTCAGTTACAACAACCATAACATGCCCTTTCCTTAATAAATGTAGCAGAAACTTTAACTTTAACTCTTATGTTTAAGTGTGAACATAAGATCATAATCACTCAGCGTGTGAGTGCATGTGCGAAAGGGTGAATGACTGACTGTAGTGTGAAGCTCTTTGGGGTACTCTGGACTTGATGAAACACTTATACCAGTGCAAGGTATTTATCTGTCAACTCAGTTGTTTTTTTTTTACAGACCATCTCATTTACAATGCAATTGCTTCTTCAGGTGCTCATCCGGGTCATCGATACCAACAACCACCGGCCACAGTTCACCCAGCAGGTGTACGTTGTGAACGTCCCTGAAGACGAGCCAGCGGGCACCGAGGTCCTGCAGATCAGCGCCGTGGACAGAGATGAGAAAAACAAACTGACCTACACGCTCCTGAGCAGCACCGATCCCTTCAGCCTGCGCAAGTTCCGGCTGGACCCAGGATCAGGCATCCTGTTCACCACAGAGCGGCTGGACCATGAGACCATGCATCGCCACATCCTCACTGTGATGGTAGGAGTTAGTTGGAACACTAACAAGAGCATTTCTTCGCTAAGAGGAAAATTATCTTGTTACATCTGGCTATTTTGAGGCTGTAATACTATGCCAAAAATTATATATATATACATTTTGATATGTATGTTTGGACCTAGTTTGCTGTTTCCACCTATATAATCTCATACTTTTCTATTTTTCTTCCATTCATTTTCCTTCTTTTTTTAATATACATCTATTTTCAGGTTCGGGATCAGGACATTCCAGTCAAAAGGAATCTCGTCCGTGTCATTGTTGACGTGGATGACACCAATGACAATGCACCTTGGTTTATAGGGACACCTTACTCTGGTCGGGTGTTTGAATCAGCTGCCATCGGCTCAGCTGTGCTGCAGGTCACTGCTCTCGACAAAGACAAGGGCTATAATGCAGAAGTCATCTACAGCATTGAGTCTGGTATGTTGCCACGGCATCCTGATGAGCCACACTTTCTCCAAGTTTTTCTTTTATTTGATGTTGGGTAGTAGAAAGCTTCCTTTGTAAAACAAAGCAAATGTAATCAGCTCATTAAACATGCATGAGTCATCAGTCATGGAGCATACTGGACCATGATTATGAATGAAACTCTGTGCACAGAGCAGGAAATTCTTAAGTTTTTGTACAAAGACTCTGCAGAGTGTGTGTTTCTCCTACATGAAGCTTCAAGAAGCATGCTGCTGATTGTCTTTTGTTTGCAGACATGCATGTTTGAGATAGCTGAGATGGTTTTAGTTGTTGTGACAGACAGGGCTGTGAGCAACTATTCGCCCCCTTAGAGATTCAATGCTGCTGCATTTTTGTCATAATTAAATATTTCACTGTTTGAATCCTGATTTAAACTGTACAAAAACTGTTTAAATCAGGATTTCAGAATGAAAAAAAAAACTACTATTCAAGCAAAGGTAGCACTGTGTAAAAAGTAATTGTCTCTTGTTGCTGAATTACTGGTGATCAACCAAAAAGTTTTGTCGAATTTCACTCACCACACCAGGGATGGATTTGCTGCCAGACCTTAAACAACAAATTACTCCAATGCAAACTTATTTAGGTTCAAAAAGCAATGCATCATGGTCTCATCTTAAGAAATTCAAGAACAGATGAATAATAAAAACATTGAGACCCATCAGTTTTTAAAACTTTAGAAAACCATTTCTATGGCTTTGGGACTCCAGAGCACCACAGTGAGAGCCATCATCCACAAGAAACAGCAGACAGTATCCTCAGAAGTGGTCATCATCCTAAGACTTATGATTCAACAATAAGAAAGAAACTTCATCCAAATGAGTTCCATGGCCAACTGAGACCAAAGTGTGACCTTAAATAAACTGATTATGACTGAAAATCTTACAGTGTGACTTAATTAACATTACTCTGGAAATAAGAGACACATTCTTACTAAAGCAATGTCTAAATGCTGTTGTCTGTTGTTGAGGGACAATCAGTTAAAAATTTAAGGAGGTGATTTTTATTTCGCATGGGACCATGATGTTTCTAGAACTTTATCTTTTTAGTAAATGGATGAAATCACAGTTTGAAACATGTTTTTGTCTTTATTCAATTTCATCTTTGTAGATATTAAGAATTGATTTGTGATTTGAAACATTTAGGTCGGACAGCTATCTAAGTTTCTGGTACAATACGCTGAGTGTTTCATTTCATCTTTCTCTTGCAGGTAACGTTGGGAACTCTTTTGCTATTGACCCTGTTCTTGGAACAATCACAGTGGCCAAAGAGCTTGATTGCAGCAGCAAATCAGCATTTGAACTGATCGTAAAAGCCTCTGATAATGGAGCGCCGCCATTATCCTCTACTGTCATCGTAAACATTGCTGTTACAGTCTCTGACAATGCAGCCCCCAGATTCACTGAAAAGGAGTTTTCTGCCGAGGTCAGCGAGTTAGCCCCTCCAGGAAGCTTTGTGAGCATGGTCACAGTCATCAGCCAGTCTTCCGTTTTCTACCAGATTAAAGGAGGCAATGTCCACAACGTGTTTGACATCAACCCAAACTCAGGAGTGGTTGTAACACAGCTGCCTTTAGATTACGAGACTATGTCTGAATACAAGCTCATCATCCAGGGCACCAACATGGCCGGACTTGGCACTAACACCACCCTTCTGGTCCATCTGAAGGATGAAAACGACAATGCTCCGGTCTTCAGTCAGAGGGAATTCAAGGGAGTAATCAGTGAGCTGGCCTCCATCAACAGCGTTGTGCTGACTCATGAAAACACCCCTTTTGTCATTCATGCCTCTGATGCAGACTGTGACCAGAATGCCAGACTAATTTATCAAATCGTTGAACCTTTTGCTCATAACTATTTTGCCATTGACTCAAGCACTGGAGCCATCAGAAGCACAGCAGCTTTGGATTATGAACAGAGAAGCGTTTTCCGCTTCACGGTTCAGGTTCATGATCTCGGAATGCCTCGCCTGTTTTCAGAAACGGCAGCCAATGTGACCATCGAAGTAATTGACGTTAATGACTGTCCACCCCTTTTCAGCCAAGAACTATACGAGGCGGCCGTCATCATGCCAACCTACAAAGGAGTAGAGGTAGTTCAAGTGAATGCCACAGACCTAGACTCTGGGCCTAACTCCAAACTACTTTTCTCCATCTCCGAGGGAAACATAGGCGACAAGTTTAAAATTGATCCGGTCACGGGCATCATCTCCATCCAGAACGTCACTCAGCTCAGGAGCAGATACGAGTTAAAGGTCAGAGTTTCTGATGGGAGATTTGCCAGTGCAGCTACAGTGAAGGTCACTGTAAAGGAAAATAAGAAGAACAAGAGGAAGTTCACTCAGGAGTCATACCAAGCTTACATTCAAGAGAACTCCTCTGAAAAGAAAACGCTTGCAGTAATCACTGCTGTTGGGAACCAAGTGAATGAGCCTTTGTTTTATAGAATATTAAACCCGGACAACAGGTTTAAAGTCAGCAGCACCTCAGGAGTCGTCTCAACCACTGGGATTCCTTTTGATCGAGAAGCTCAGGACTCCTATGACATCATCATTGAGGTCACCGAAGAGAAGAAATCAGAGGAAACTGCTCATATTTTAGTTACTGTTACCGTGGAAGATGTAAATGACAACAAGCCGATGTTTGTCAACCTGCCCTATCATGCCCTGGTGCAATTTGATGCTGAGAAAGGTCATGTCATTAGACAGGTCACAGCAGTGGACAAAGATATAGGCCCAAATGCAGACATCCATTACTCTCTGAAAGAGCCTGAGGATCACTTTGAAATCCACCCATCTGGTGAAATTCTGCTCAAAAAGAAGTTTGAGAAAGACTCACTCGACACAAAGTTTGTTCTTGTTGTTTTGGCAAGGGATAATGGGAAACCTCCTCTCTCAGCTGAAGTTGAAGTGCCTGTAACAGTGGTGAGCAAAGCAATGCCTGTGTTTGAGAGGCCTTTTTACAGCATTGAAATCCCTGAAAACATTCAGCTGCACTCCCCTGTGCTCCATGTGCAAGCCAATGACTCAGAGGGGCCTCGCATCGTGTACACCATTTCTGAAGGAGACCCTTTCAAACAGTTCTCGATTGATTTTAACACTGGGGTCATTCACGTAATTCAGCCTTTAGACTTTGAGACACATCCTGCTTATAAGCTAAACATAAGGGCCACAGACTCTCTGACCGGAGCTCACTCTGAGGTGTTTGTTGATATAATTCTGGAAGATGTCAATGATAATGCCCCGGTGTTCCTGTCAAATTCCTACTATGCCAATATTTCCGAGGCTGCTGTTATTGGCACATCGGTGTTGCAGGTGGTTGCCAGAGATTCTGACACTGGCAACAACAAGGAAGTATTTTATCAGCTGGTTGAGGAGAGAGGGAAGAGCTCAGACTATTTTACTATTGACCGTGAGTCTGGAGTAATCTCCACAAGTCAAGTTCTCGATCATGAAGAAGTCCAGCAACACAAGTTGAGAGTCCGGGCTGTAGATGGCGGCGTCCCAGCTCTGATAAGTGACATCACTGTGACGGTAGATGTTACAGATCTGAATGACAATGCTCCTGTTTTTACTCAACACGCTTACCAAACCACCATCAGTGAATTAGCCCCACGCGGGCACTTCGTCAGCCAGGTCCAAGCTTCCGATGCCGACAGTTCAGATGCAAAAAAGCAGTTTTTCTCAATTATAGATGGAAATGAAGAGCAGAACTTTGCTATCAACAAGCAGACTGGTGCCATCGTTATTTCAAATCATCGCCGGCCACACATGCAGCCTTTTTACAATCTTACCATAGCAGTGTCAGATGGTGTATTTAGAAACTCAGCTGTTGTTATGGTGACAGTTTTTGGGGCCAACTTCCACAACCCCACCTTTTCACAGACTGAGTATATGGTAGAGGTAATTGAGAACTCCCCTGTTGGCACCCTAGTAGCACATGCAGAGGCAACTGATGATGATGAAGGAATCTACGGCCAGATCACATACCACATTGTCAACGAATTAGCTAAAGAAAAGTTTTCTATCAATGGAAAAGGAGAGATTTTCACCCTTCAAAGTCTTGATCGTGAAAACACAGTTGAGAAGGTAATTCCCATATCTCTGATAGCGAAAGACGGAGGCGGAAAAGTAGGTTTTTGTGTTGTCAATGTAATTGTCACAGATGCAAATGACAACTCTCCACAGTTCAGAGCAGCTGAGTACAAAGCCACCATTGCATCAGATGCCCCAAGAGGAACAACTGTGCTCAAAATTTCCGCCTCAGACACAGATGAGGGAAGTAACGCTGACATAGAGTACTCCATTGAAGCAGATGTTGGAAATGTTGGGGAGAACTTTGAAATCCACAAAACCTCTGGGGTCATCGTTACCAAAGAAAGCCTGATTGGACTTGAAGATGAGCTCTACGCATTCTTTGTAAAGGCAAAGGACACTGGGAATCCACCCAGACATTCAGTTGTCCAGGTTTACATTAGGATTGTCTCACCAGAGATGCCACTTCCCAAGTTTGCAGAACCGTATTATCGTCATACTGTTGCTGAGGACCTTCCCATTGGAACAGAAATAGATATAATTCAGGCAGAGAGCGAACAGGCAGTCGTTTACAGCCTCATGAGAGGCAGCACTCCAGAGAGCAATGAGGATGAAGTGTTTGTTGTTGACAGAGATACTGGAGCCTTGAAGCTTGAGAAAAGATTGGACCATGAGACGGCCAAGTGGTACCAACTAACTTTACTCGCTCAAACTAAGCATGAAACTTATGAAATAGTTGCTTCAGTAAATGTAAATATCCAAGTGAAAGATGTCAACGACAACAAACCAATCTTTGAAGCTGACCCTTATGAGGCTGTCACTGTTGAAAATCTTCCAAGTGGGACCCAAGTTATTCAAGTCAAAGCCACTGACCTCGACTCCGGAACCAACGGCCACGTTGTCTACAGCCTGGACCCCACGCAGACCTCACAGGAGATCTTCGAGCTGTTCGCTGTTAACAGTGAGACAGGATGGGTGACCACCTTAAAGGAGCTCGACCGTGAAAAAACAGAAAAATACATCATATCTGTTCTTGCCACTGACCAAGGCGATGCAGTTCAGCACGTTACCAGCACCAGTGTGGAGGTGACTGTGGCCGACGTGAACGACAATCCGCCTCGATTCACCGCAGAAATCTATAAAGGCACGGTCAGTGAGGATGACCCCCCACCCAGTGGGGTGATCGCCATCCTCAGCACCACTGATGAGGATTCAGAAGAGATGAACAAACAAGTGAACTACTTTATCACAGGTTGGTTTTCTTTCTCCCCCTTAGTGTAACAGTGTTTCTCAAATTAAACATGATTTAAAACAAGGATGGTGTAAAAGTCATGGTGCGACCAACAACTATTGTCACCCGTGGTAAAGCAGTGTGAAAAGAAATAATATTTTTTATAGTAATATTGTCACACTGAAACAATTTATTCAAATTCCAATTTGAAATCAATGTATTCGCCAAGGGAAACAAGTCCCAAGCTTCCTGATTTTACTGGCAACTTAAGAGAGATATATTAATCTGATATGAAGTGATACTGAAAATGATTTCTCGTATACACTCTTTAAAAAGGGAAGGCGAGAGAACCTGCTAACCCTGTAGATTGAGTTCCATAAGTCAGAAGATGGTCAGCACACTAATTAAAAAGTTAGAAAAATCAGAAACTAAGATAAACAACAATGGATCAGAGCCTAAGCTCATCTTTCCGTGGTAAGGATGGTAAGGAAGTTTAAGCAAAAATCTCTGTTTGGGAAATGCAGCAAAGAGAAGCATCTTGGATGTGACTAAGTCAACATCTATTTCCAGTGGTTCTATCCCACTCCTAATGAGGTTCCATTAAGGGTGGAAGGTGCCTTATCTCTAGATTCTACAAGCTTCTTTGCACATATTAAATCCTTTATAATAGAGATGTGCACAATAACGTTTTAAATGGAACAGGAAGAAAATACTGACCTGCTAATTCCATAAGACTTGCTCTAAAAACACTTATAATTGCCCATCATTTACGCAACAAAAATGAGCTTAATACCCCATCCATACAATTGAAAAACTACAGTTTTTCTTACTCTGTTACTGGGGTTATACCTATTAAAAGCCAAAGAAACAAATTGTTTCTGAGTTTCTTGTGTTTAGTTTAGAAATACTTCCTTCAGAAATGAGTCTACATCCTTCTACATTGTTGGTCATGCTTCACTGAGATATGTGTCATATCATATAACAGGAGGTGACCCACTTGGCCAGTTTGCCATTGAGCACCTGCAAAATGAGTGGAAGGTCTCTGTCAGGAAGCCGCTGGACAGAGAAGTAACAGACAATTATCTCCTAAACATCACTGCCAGCGATGGCATCTTCACCGCGAAAGCCGTCGTAGAAGTCAAGGTGTTGGATGCCAATGATAACAACCCAGTGTGTGAGAAGGTAAAAAGTGATTTCCCTGTTGTTGCTTGTTACTTCCTGCTATCGACGTGAGCTTCTTTCCCGCTTTAATATTCCATGTCTCTTCCTCTTTGTGTCCTCCAGTCCATCTACAGCGAGAGCGTCCCAGAGGACTCCCCGGCTGGCAGGCTCATCCTGCAGGTCTCTGCCACAGACGCTGACATCCGCTCAAACGCCCAAATCTCTTACGAGCTCCAGGGAGCTGGATCGGAATATTTCATCATTGACTCAGACACAGGTGTGTATACATGCAGTGACAAATACCAAAGAAGAAGAAGAAAAAGAATGAATGCGTCTCTTTGTTACATTATATCTAGGAAATGTTACTGATTTTATGAGGCAGTGGTACCAACACAGAAGAGCACATCATTGTAATGTAAAGTGAAAATGTACATAGTTTTCAAATGCCACACTTGTACGACCACCTGTTGCTGCATTTACTACCTCTACCCATCTATTTATGCGGTAAAGAACAAAGCTTTGCTCATTGTTATTTGCAGAATAACTGAGACTCAGACAGATCGGACGGAGCATTTGTGAATTCTTGCTACAGATTCTCTTTCGGATTTAAGTCTGGACTTTGACAGGGCCAATCTAAGACGCCATTATGCATTTAATTAAACTTTTCATTCCACTGTATCTCTGGATACAGCCTCACATCCAGTGAGATTGTGAGGCTATCCCTTTATCAGATTGCTGAGATCATCAGAGAACAGTTTCCTCTGAGATGAAATTACTTTCAGATGGATTCCACTGAGGGATCAGGTGATTTATAAAGACAACTGGTTGCACTGCATTCAGCTTAGTGGTGTTAGACTAAAGATGGCTGAACACAAACATACACTTTAATTTTTCATTTGCAAAAAAAAAGAACATCCTAGTTTACAATTATGTTTATGTACATTAAATTATGGCTTTTCCTTGGAATTTTCTCCCTCTTGTGGAGGTTTTTGGGTTGTCGAGGAGCAGTTTTTCAGACACCCGTGATAAAGTCTGTCATTATTCAGCCTTAAGCAGCTGAGCAGGTTGACGTTCCACGTGAGAATTGTCATTCTTTTAGAAAGTCCTTTGTATTTGTGACTGTACGTTTCTGATAGTGTCAGCCCTAGAAGAGGTTGGGAAGTTTTACCCGGTTTGTATTTACTTTTTGTTTATACATTTTTAAAAAGGGCCCAGAACATTTCCCTGCTGTGCTTCTTTGAGGCTTTCGGCGGCACAAAAACACAGGTGAAGCACACTTAGATTGAATTAATGTCTGCCTTCCTTCTTGCAAATTATTTCCTCTGGGAACCACGATAAATTAGGCGTTCCATCTGGCTGGTTAGGGTGGAAAAGCAAACTGAAGAAACAAGAAAACCCCAAAAAGAATAGCAGTTAATCAAAAGCAACCTGTGATTTTAGTTTATGTGCGGAGTAAAGGCAAGGAGAAGCATAACAAACTAAGCCAGTAGATTTGAGCAGCTTTTCCTCACATCTGCTGTCGCACAGACAGAATGAGAGGAAAACGCCATCCAGCTGTCTTCTGGCAGGGCTCAATGCTGCTGCTGTGGAGAAGGATTTCTTTTTCTGTTTTTTTCACAACTCAGACAAGTAGGAGAATTGCTGATTATGATCGCTAAGAGGCTCTGGAGTTTTCCACCCTGCTTTTGGTGAAGCTGGCTGTTCTGCTTCCCAAGACACTTCCAGGCTGCTCTCTGCTGCCAACTCTGATGTTTATTCCCCCTCCCTGCCCTGCCTTCCTCTATCACCTCCTGCACTTCAGTGATTTATTTATTTTGCTCTCTTATCTCCTGAAAGCCATTAGTTTTTGAAAGCTTTGTCTTCACCTGCTGAGGAATAGATAAAAGTTCTACTTTAAAACTCAATATTTCACTTGAATATTAGTATCAAATAGGGGTGGGAGATATTAATTTGTAGTTTTATCACAATATTTTGTGATGCTATTGTTATAATAAGAACTAGTTATTATGTCTCTCTTTTCAGGTAAGTATGTGCCTATGACTTCATGGGACAGCAATCACAACCCCATAAACATAATTACTGCTCTAGAAAAACATTCTCATTTGTATGAATTAAAATGAACTCAAATTCTAAGATTACCTTAAATCCTTTAAGTAGCATATGTGGACTTAAATTGACATACTCAATTTAGTATGCTATATGTGGCTAATATATCCAAAATTAGCTAAAGGTTATCGTTAGCATGAGGGTTGTCACTAAAATAGAGTAACTATTATATAAAGACTACCAGTAGGATGAGGGTTATCCCTAGCATGTTGACTAAACTTAAATGAATTCCCATCATGACAAGAAATTTATGGGTTTCAAACTCAAATCTGACCTGCATGTGTGCATTTCTGACCTCTAGGAGAGTTGAAGACCTTGCAGCCACTTGACAGGGAGGAGCAAGATGAGCACAAGTTCATAATGAGAGCAGTGGACGGAGGAGGGCGATACTGTGAAGCTGAAATTCGCATCACCGTGGAGGACGTCAACGACAACCCGCCGCAGTTCTCATCCGAGACTTACTCCATCACGGTGTTCGAAAACACGGAGACCGGCACACTGGTTGGAAGACTGCTGGTGAATGACGTTGATACAGGTCAGCTTTATTCCTCTTTGCGCTTCAAATAGAAACTGAATCCATCATGTTCTGCCGGGAATGAATTTAAGATCCTCTGCATTGCTTTTGCTTCCCTTTTTAGATGTGACTGCAAATGCACAGTTTGGTTAGTTAGACCTAACTTTAGAATCTACTTTCCTGCTGTAGCATAGAGGTTTACATTCTCATGCAACAGGTCAAATTTATGATGCATGCATGGTGATTATGGCCATGGTTTCCCAGAAGAGAAAACAAGCCTTCTTATTTTCTCAGATTGATGCCACTGGTTAACAGGTTACAACGTAGAAATGAGACAATATACTTCAGTTTTATGAATCAGTTGAAAATTGTCAGTTGTCTCTTTTTTCACCCATTTTCACGGCTGACTTATTTTAAACGGAAAACCATGTGAAAAGGTTCTTAAGTAAGAATGAAAACTTGTCACGGTTAAGAGGACCCTATTTTCTTCCTCTATCGCCCATTGATCCATGAAGGAGACCAGGATCAGCACCTGCAGCTCACATTTTTAAAAGATTTAAGAGGACCTCAGCCTTAACCAAGACTGAAAGAAAAGGAAAAAACTGGCTAACTGGCATGAGTTGAGACATAATTCACAACCAATACCTAAAGCTAATAACTAGGAGACTTAAGTGTTCCTATACAGTTCGGACAGTTATAGAATTTAGTTGGAGTATTTTCCAGGTGTGGGCGAGTCTGGAAAAGTGTTTGATTCAAACCATTCCAGAGTTTTTGATCCATCCATGCAAATTAGCGGGATTGACAACAAAGTTGTAACAAAGTGTTCAGTGAAGGCATCATACAGCTTTCCTACCTGAAACCTGTCAGAATTTCCTGTTAATATTTCCATCTTGTAAATTTGAAACTCAAATATCAGAATAAAGATGTTATTCATAAATAAACTACATCAATCACGCCATGGCAAATAAAGCAAAACTATGTCAACAGTCAATAGTTTGGCTTTTGAAAACATTTTTTTAAATAAAAAAAAATAATAATAATATTGAAAAAAAATTTTTTTGCTGTGTTTAACTAAAAAATGCAATTAAAATCACACATGAATATGATTGTTCACGTGAAAAGTAATTGAAAAATAATATCCTCTATCTTCTTCCTGTAGTCTTCTTCATAGTTTCTGTCAGTAGTAACGTTTGGTTGTTGGTCATGTGACCCATGTGATGCAAAAAAGTGTTTCCATTGCAGTTTTGAAAATTTAGCTAATTTTGATACTATCAAGAGAAACACCTCATTCTAGAACCAAAACATCATTACATTTAAATTTGTGTCTAAAAAAGAGGAAGTCAACTCAGCACTGTTTTCTGTATCGGATCAGTAGGAGCTGATACTAAACCTCAAATATCTGTATTGTATCGAAAGGGAAAAAAGTGGATGCTAATTTTGTATTCAGTAATAATCTGTCATATTTCATAAGAGTGAATTAACTGGAACAAAATATAGCTCTAATATACATTAGGTCTGTGCATTTTATGTTCCATAACATTCTGCAGGGTCAATACACTGATACATAATGGCCTAAACCAAGTCTAAAAAATTATGAGATGGAATTTTAAAGGAACAAAATGGAAACAGAAACTGAGTCCAAGTTCAAAACAAACAATTCCTGCTGCTTCACAATGACTGGGCTTAAAGTTGTATTTAGAAAACCTGGTGCATCTGTCATAAAGTCCACAGTTCAGTATGGCTCCAAGCTAATTGTTGGAGCCTGAAATTGCCAGATAAACCTGTGTACACCGACTTTGTTTCCTGCTGTGGCCATAAAAGTTAACTGGCAGGAAATAAAGTCACAAATGCAGCAAATTAGCAGCCAGCCTGTGTATTAATACAGTTCACAAAGAAACACTAACCTGAGGTGAATGTACTCTGAAAATCATTCTGTACCATTAAGGCGTTTACGTGTTCATTTGGACTCTCTGCTGACTCACTGGGCTCTTATTATCCTTTTTGTTTTTTTTGATGTAGAGCTGCATTAGGCTAAATGGCACGGGGGAAAGGATAACAAATGTGAAATTTTATGAATGATCAACCCCTGAAATTAAAAGCTCCATTACACTCTAATGAAATTTCTCTCTCTTCAGGCTAAATTCTCAAAAGGGAGGATTGCAATTTTCCATTTACCTAGCGCATCACCATGGGGGCCACATATTTATCTCTACCGTCTCCTCCTTTCAGCAAACATTGCCAATCACTAAGAGGCTCACACATGGATGGCTCCGAGAGCTTAAAACCTTCCAATTTAACAGCCGTTGGAATTACTCTGAGATTTTCTTTCTCGGAGACTGGTGGACCTGCCATTCCAGATTGCTTTCGGAGTTTACTGAAGCAGGACACTCGAGCTCCAAGGACCGTTTCAGATTGTTGACTGACAGAGAATCAACTCTGTCTGCCTCGTTCTATTTTCTTTCCCCCGTTTTTTTGGGGGAGGGCTTAGTGGCGCTGCTGACAGGGTGAATAACACGCCTCAAATGGGGCCTCTTAGAGACAAATGGTAAATGGTGTACACAAAGCTAGCATTAAAACTTCTTGCTGCGCATGCTTGGATTGAAGAAATGTGTTTTGGACTTTACGTGTCAAGGGCGAGAGCAGTTTTCAAAAGTGCGGCGAGAGCGACATGCACCCAGAGGGTTAGCCAGTAGCAGTAATTATTAGTTACTTGGTGCAGGCATAGATGGATTTCAGTGGCTCTTAGATGAGTGTATATTTAAAAGAATGTTTTTTTTTGTTTTTGTCCATAGTGTTTCTTATTTAGCTGCAAGCATGAAGCATTGCGTATTTGGCTCAGATCCACTTTCAGAGAGCCAACGAAATCAGTAGGTTTGACCCAGTTACCACAGCCTTCAATCAGTTGTCTTTCCAGCCAAGCATCAAAATTTCAAATCTAATGTAACCCTCCTCCTCAGAGAAAAATATTGCATTATCCTCCATACTTTCTGCATATTTTAGAGAGGATTCATTCTTGGCGCTGCTCGCTGTGTGCCACAGCCTCTGTGATCTCTCTATGATGTCGGTTCCTCGCCCACATAGTTTGCTCCCCCAGTTCAGCCTCCCGTTACAATCTCTGAGAGGCAGCACTTATCAGTGCAGAATGATTATGAACCAGACAGAGACACAGAGGCAGACTGGTGCCCTTGATCCGTGATAAACTTCTAAATTCCCCCTCTGATTCTGCTTTGTCCTTTATCTCACCACCTGGGTTTGAGTGTATCTCTTGGCCCCAGCTCTGCGATCTTATTTCGCTCATTTCGCTTCTAAAGTTTCCCTGTTTTGGAGGAATTTGAACGTTTTGTGCTTCATCCCTCTTTGTTGCTTTGTCAGAGATCTTCAGAAGCTCACTGCAGTCAAACTTTAAGATGTCTTCAAAGAGCTGGCTTTGCTTAAAATGAATGAATTGTGGTTGGGACTGGACAATATTTGTAAAACCTATCATGTTATACATGTTTTCATGCCAATCAATATCATTTACTATAGATTTGTTTTCTTTGTTTTAAATATCTCTCCTCTTTTATCTACTGTTTTCCTCCAATCCGTATGTGTTTTTTTTTTTTTTTTTGTAAGAAGTTATGAGGCGGCAAAACCTGAAACTAATTGTTGCTTGGTAACCGAAGAATGACTTAGTTAATCCCACTCACGTTGTTTAGCTTTTCCTCTGTGTGAAGCTAGTCTGGCCGTTTCTTTCCTCCACAATTCTACTCGATTCTCCCAGAAAGTTACGCTGAGCATTGACCGGACACCTCTCCAATAGCAGGGAGAGAACTATAGCGCCGGGCATTCTGGGTAAATACAACCAAAATAAACATGTGTGTCTGGTCCTGTGGGAGAAATACCTCATGGTCTTTTACCAAAGACAGAAAAAAAGTCCTGAAACTGCTAAAATCTGATCTTATATCTTCTTCTGAGGTTTTTGTGTCATTTCCCTCTGCAACACCACCACATGTGAAGGGGAGAACAGCTTCCTCAATGGGTTTGGTTCATTTGACAGTGCAGTTTGAAAGAGAACCACACAAATGTTGCAATTTTGGTATTGATTTGAACCGAGCCTACTGAACTGTCTGGTGTTGATATACCCTGGGAAAACAAACCCAGCTTGATATCAATAAGATTTCATATGATAAACAATTTTATTCTTAATTCATTAAAACTGAAGGGACAGCAGCCTTTTTATTTCCTGCGTATAAAGTAGCAGCTTAATTAAGCAAATGTTTCCAGCTCAGTTTAATTTTCAGCATTTCTGCCAAGGGACCAAGACGAGTGTCATTACAAGTAACCATATAAGACAATATATGCAGCTATAACTCTAAACAATTCTCCTAAGTATCATCAAGCAATCGTCTTCTAAACGTTCCAACCAGATGAAAGTGATGAGGATCTATATAAGCGAGGTTCCCTACGGTCATCTCTCCAGCGTGATAATGAGATCTAGACAGAATGGAGGGCACTCACCTGATAAATGGAACTATAATAGCGGATTCCAAATGGGGACCACCTGCAGGAAAGCATTATGATTATTATTGTGATCAGTCTCTGTCTTGTTTCCGGGTACATCACACTTGTGGGAGGACATGAGTTATGAGGACGTGGCAGATCAGGCGGTTAGCACCAGCGCTCACAGTGAGCCATGATTCATTTACAGCAAAGTATTCATACTGTTTGAACATTGCACATTTTGGCATATTACAACCACATGGTGGCATGTGTTTTACATGGGATTTGATGTGACAGACCAGCATTTTGTTAAGATAAAGAAACAGTCCCCCCCAAAAAATGTACGGAAGAAAATAAATGCCAGAACTAAAAAAAAAAACTCACAGGTCCAATCATGTAAAACTTTCAACGGAGTTCACATTCGTTGAATCTCTTCTCAGCAGCCGAGCGTTCAGACCCTCTGCACAAGGCAAAGTGTAGAACAAGGGGCTGGTTATCGTATGTACAGGTAAAAAACTTGGAATTGCAGCTGCAATTGTACAAATTGTGGTTCTACTTGCCACACTTTAGAGTTTTTATTTTTTTAAATATATGAAAATCACAATAATATTCATTTATGACTGTATTTATAATGTGACGAATCATGAAATCTTCTCCAAGTCTAAGAATTTAATGTACCAGTTACGTGGGTTAAATGATAATTGATAATGATTGATAATGATTATAATGATTATAATTATGCAACCAGACTCTCAAATTCATTGTAAAATGAACTGATGACTTAAAATAGTGATTGTTTATTGTCATGGACAATTCTGGGTTTTTTTGGTCATTCTAGGTCTTAACGGTGACATCGTCTACTCCCTGGCTGACTCTGCTGATGGGTTCTTCTCCATTGATGAGCAAAGCGGCGTGATCACCCTGGAGCGCCCCCTGGACCGCGAAGTGCAGTCAGTGTATGAGCTGAAGGCCCATGCCAGCGACCGGGGCTCTCCACGTCACTCCTCGCTGTGCGAGGTGGTGGTCTCGGTGCTGGACATCAACGACAACCCACCGGTGTTCGAGCACAGGGAGTACATGGCCAACCTGTCCGAGGACGTGGCAGTGGGCACTCAGGTGGTCCGAGTGCAGGCGGCCAGCCGCGACGCCGACGCTAACGGGGAGATTTCCTACAGTATCATCAGCGGGAACGAACACGGCAGGTTCAGTGTGGACCCCCGCACTGGTACGTGTCCCAGCATAATGTTTTTGAAGTTTTCCGCTTGGTGTTTGTGTTTTATCAAGTGAAATTATATTAAATTTACTGCTGTTATTTTTTATTTTTTTAGAGATAACTTTCCAAATATTATTTTGATTATAGTACTTTCTAGCCATGGATTTTTAAAAATTCTTAATTTGTAGACTTTTATTCTGTTATTTAAGTTTTACTTCCTCTTGTCTTGAAGGCGATGTATTTGTGATCGAAGCTTTGGACTATGAGGCATCTCATGAATACTATATCACCGTGGAGGCCACAGATGGAGGCTCCCCTCCACTCAGCGACATCGCTACTGTGAATGTCAACCTTACTGATGTCAATGACAACAAGCCCGTCTTCAGCCAGGACATCTACACCACAGTCATCAGCGAGGACGCCGAGCTCGGGAAAGCCGTATTAACAGTAAGGACTAGCAGTGTCGTTAACAAATGCAATTCTAAAGATTTTAGAATTGCATTTGTGAATCTACATTTCACTAATGTAGATTAGTGAAACTATTTATACCTAAAAGCTTGTCTCCGAAAGAGGGTTGACTAATTAACAGCATCGCGTTATGCACTCAACACACATGAATTGAAAGGCGAAAGTTTTCTGCAACAACTGATGGCAACAAAAGTTTTTTTTTTTTTTTTTTACTTTGTCTCTAGCCCTTGAGTTCACGTCCACATGTATGGTTTGAGTTAATGAAACCAATCATGCAAACTTTTTTTTTTTTTTAAATACTCATAATGTTTTTGATATTGGCGTTTGCTCAGAGCAGCATCAGAAAGGGGTGGTGCACTCAAGAACTGAATAATATAAACTTATCTGTCAATTGTCCCCTGAACAAGTTTCCTGTTCTTCTATGCATATGTAAGCTTCCTTTCTCTACTATACATGCATAGAAGTTGGGCATACTGATTAATTGTGATTAATCACAGCAGCAGTGTCATTAATTGATTAAATTCTTTAATCGGCTGACAGCACTAGTAAGGTAGATATGCTTAGCTTGTACAGAGCAGATGACTTTGTTTGTTTTTTTTTGCTGTGATTACCCATAATCACTCCAAAACCATGTGAAAGGTTTGACATTTTTCATCACTCCTGATTTCCCTCCAGCCAGATGTGTCAGTTCATCCACCTTCTCCTCTGTGGTTCATTTCCTCGCTCACGGCCTGTCTCCTCTCCGTCCATTATTCGCTGAATGCACTATCACATATCTGCACCTGTGGCAAACCACCATCTGGTTTAGCAGCTAAATTAGGACCGCTGCTCTTCATGCTTACTGCAACTCTACGTTCCGGTTCAATATCCGACACACATACTAAAGTCAGAGAATCTGAATTTATGTGACTCATTAAGCCTCCTATTCAACTCGAGATATTTGTAACCTTTAGTTCGTTTCATTTTAACTCCCTATTGATTTCTGTCTTCCCTCTGTTTGAAAATGATCCCCACTCCCAGCCCTTTATCTGTACATCTAAGGTACCTGAATATAAATGAACCATCAGAAAATTAGATTTTATTGCATGCCATTCTCTTATACCTGTAAATCCTCTGTGTGCTAATTTCCCTAGGGATCCTTTTTTTGTGTTTGGGATTTATTGAGGTTTTCAGTGGTGTAGGATTTGTTGTGTGCGTGTGTGAGAGTGTGTGTGTGTGTATAAAGTTGCATAGCTAAATTAATTTTGCATTGGCTCTCAAAAGTATGCCTCTGTCAAAATGCCATGATTTTTGATGTAAGAAAAAATCATGGCAGCTTGATAGAGACAACTTGATAAATAATTTTGCAACGTTTTCCACATACAATATGACGGGGCATTTATCTTGCACAACTCAAGTGAAAACAGAAAAAATATAAACATATTTTTGGTATTTTACAGCCATAAATAAACTGTGTTAGGAACAAGTTAATACTGATTCCACTAGTTACTGTTACTTATGCTAACATAAGACAAATGTCATCTCAAAGTATTTTAATAATAAAATAAAGTCCTGTAATTTAAAACTCTATATTTTTTACACCAGAGAACAAATCTTTTCGCTTCATTAAAGCAGCAGTATGGCACTTTTAGAAAAAATATTTATTTGCACATTTTTTAAAACTCTCAGTATGTGGAGACAGTGTGACATGATATGAGAGATAATCTGTGAAAAAACTCAAGTTCCTCTGAATTGGCCCAGTGCTAACTAGAAACAACCAATCAGAGGCAGGAGGATGGTCTTAGCGCTGTCATTCCTTCTTTAGGCGGCGCTGCTCATCCCCTTTTCTCTCTGCTATGCTCCAGCTTTATCCTGATACCAGAGCAGATCATGAATGCTAAGGCTAGTCGGCATGCCCACCGATCCCAGCGAAGAAATGGTATTCCTGTAGCTGTGGGTTTTTTATCTGCCATTAGCACATTTATCAGCAGGCACAAGAGGATTGTTGACAGCGCTAAGGCCCTCCTCCTGACTCTGACTGGTTGTTTTTGACTGGAAGCAGTGCATTTCTTCAGAAGGCCATTGGAGTAGCTCAGGGAGGAGGAGGAGATGAATTGTTTCATAGATGATCTGTCTTATATTATAATGTTAGGACATGGTGAGAGATTAAAAAAAAATATAAAAAACATATTTTCTATAAAAGCTACAAAATGCAGCTTTAAAGTACTTTGGTAAATAAAAAATAGTCTGCTAAGAAATGAAAATTTTCCGTGGCATATTTCTTTATGTTTTAGCAGGTGTTTCATATATATATATATATATATATATATATATATATATATATATATATATATATATATATATATATATATATATATAAACGTGTGTATGTTGTTAACCGATTCTTTGTGGCACTCTCTTTGACTAAAAGGTGATGGCCGAGGATTCTGATGGACCGTCCCACAATCACATCCGCTACTCCATTGTGGACGGCAACCAAGGCAGCCCGTTCACCATGGAGCCGCTGCGGGGGGAGCTTAAAGTCGCTCGCCAGCTGGACAGAGAGAGAGTAAGTGGAGCAGCCGATACTTCCTGACTGTTCTCATGCAATGTAATCCATTGAGGAACTAATTGCACTGAATGCAAAATCCAATCAGACTCATGCCGACTTAATAGGGAGGCTTGTTTAGTGATTTGCATTATTGCTTAGAAGAGCACTTTTGTTCATGTACAGTAACTCCTGCTCTGTGTTTCTCCCAGATGTCTGGGTATACTCTGAAGGTGGTCGCCGAGGACAACGGGGTGCCCCCTCTCTCCAGCAGCGCAATAATCAACATTGACATCTCAGATGTCAATGATAACCCACCCCTTTTCTCCCAGGCCAACTACAGCCTCATCATCCAGGTGAGAGGGGTTGAGGGGGGGTCAGTGCAGATAGCTGATTAGAGTGAAAAAAATAGATGGAGAGGGAAAAAGAGACGAGGGGCTGCAGGAGGGATCTCGGCGGACACGGAGAGAGATTAGGAGAAAGAAATAATGGAAGGCTTTGCAAGCAGAATATCAAGGAGGAGGATGGAGGAAGAACAAAGGTAGGAAGAAGGGAGAAGCAGGGGGATTGAAAGACAGAGGTTGAATCTTAACGTGCAGGAACGCAGATCAGGGATGGAGGGAGTGAAGAAGAGAGAAATCTACAAGGTGGAAAGATGAGAGGGGATGGCTTACTAGACGAAAGGGGGTAGATAAGAAACATTAAAGGGAGCTGCATCAATAGAGTGGCGGAAGCTCAGAAGAGAGAATGCTTTCTTCCCTCAGCATTTAGGAAGGATAGTAAAGTGACTGATGCACTAAAGTTAACTGATGAATGAACTCAGCAAGTTTAGACCTTTGTGAGAAGGATGAAAATGCTAAACTAGTGGGGCATCCTATTAACTGATAATTATGTCTATAATTATGAAAGTGAACATCCAAAGCTCCTTCATGTCAATCCTACATCCATAAATCCATGCAGCCTTTGGCCAAACATGCATTATGAAAACGATTAGAACACACTAAAAGTCTATCCTGGAATTTCCTCCAAAAATGTGTGTGAACCCCTGGTGGTGGGACGAGGAACATCAGGTATGACTCTAAAATGATTTGGACATTCTTACTATGGATCCATATTAGGTATTCATATGGCTTTTACAACTTGCTTAACAATTTATTGAACAGATAATTCATTGACATAGAGTTTAATTATCTTTATCCATCTCTTTATGCTCTTTATCTACCGTCACAAACAGCTACGTTCATCTTTAGAAAACATCCAAAAGCAAATTCATTAATTTGCTCTCTTACAACAGAGCTAAACAGTTAGAACACAGGAAAACTGTTGCACATATCAGCTAATTTAATATAAATGAAACGATTTATGACTGTCACAGTTTCTAAAGGATTGTATATTTATTTACTTTATGATGGATTCAATTTGCAATTCATTTATTTATGTAATCATTGGACAGAACACATGCCAGCTTGCTGCAGAGCATCAGATCTGAACATTGTTTCACCTCTTCACTGACTGCGTTTTATGGCCCATGAAGATTTGATCAAAGTATTGCAGTAAATTCTCTTAAATCAACTATGAGGGGAAAAATCCAGAGCTACACATTCTGTGTACACGCCCACAGAAAGATCAATAGCTTCTTTTTTTTTTTAGCTCTGCAGAATGAATGTAATGGGTTGCAAAAGATTCAATAGATGTCAGATGTGAACATTATTCAGGAACAAAAAAGAGAACCACTTTCTTTTCAAACTCATGCTGTTCTTTTAACTGCTACTGTCTGATCAGTCAGAGCCAACAGAAACTTTAGAAACAGAAAGAATCATAGAGATAGCTCTTCTTTTGTCCTGATGGAAAAATTATGAAAAGTAAGAAAAGGTCAGCATTAAAGCAGAACCTTCCAGAAGCCGGATGCTTCAAGCTAAGTTCTAATATGCCATTTCGATTACGCACAAACTATATTTTAAAGAACACAAAGGTTTCATTAATCTGATCTTTATTTCCATTTTCATTCCGATTGACTGAGATCCACCTGTATTCCGTGGAGGTGGGATCAGTTTCAAATGCCTTTTGTCCAGCTCAGCGACGTTCCTTCTTTGCACAAAGCAGCATTGATGCATTTAAGAAGTCAATGACTTTAAGCAAAGCATGTCTTCTTATCACACCTCTTGTGCTGCTCAGGAGAATCGACCAAAAGGCACAAGCATTCTTCAGCTAGCCGTGAGCGATCGTGACGCTTCACACAACGGCCCACCTTTCACCTTCGCCATCGTGGAGGGGAACGAGGGCAGCGTTTTCCACATCAACCAGCAGGGAGCGCTGGTGACCACAGGGGTGCTGAGCAGGAAAACTAAAGAGCACTACTTACTTCAAGCGCAGGTGAGTCGCAGAGCCGAGGTGAGACGAGGGTCGGCGGTTTGCATCAACTTAAACCTTTGAGCTTCAGCAGATTTCTGTTTATCCATATTCTTTTCCCTCCTATCTTCCATCACCTCTCCAAGCAGTCTGCTCACTCACCTAGAAACCCCTGAAGTATTTTACTGAGAGCTTGCTGCACCGAGAGAAACTTTACCAGAGAAGCTGAATAGACGTAAAATCACATTTGATGTGATTTGAATAGAAGTAGACATCAATCAATTAATGAAGTTTATTTTTATAGAACATTTCAGCAACAAGACAGTTGAAAGTGCTTTACATGACTTACATTAAAACATAAAAGCATCAAAACCACATCAATAGTTGTGAAAGCCAATAACTAATATTGCATTTTGTGCAATATTAAGTGATTTATAATCTAACAGAAGTATTTTGAAAGTCCATGACGGTCCACAGCTGCTTCAAAGCACCTTATAGATGACTAAATAGGACAGAGAGCAGCTTTGATTTGGCTCTGTGACGTGTTACCTCGATGGAAGGGAACAGAGGAGAAATGTGTGGGCAGATGGGACATGAAAAGTGTGATGTTGTGCACACAACACTCAAGCTCCGATTTGAGTCATTGCTGTTGGTTGTTTTCCTGTGAACCAACAGCTAAATCCCATAAAAGTGTGGTTGTTAAGATGTTTGATCTCGTTCATGTTTTGTTGGCTCTCTGTATCTGGTGCATTTGCAATGTGTGGATGCTGTTAGCCGAGGGACTGAGTCAGCAGTGGAAGAGTTTGATTGCCCTCTGGTGTTGGAAGGCAGGTAATGCTTCACCGTCCTCCTCTCCTGTGCAGGTGTCTGACAGTGGCAATCCTCAGCTGTCCTCCACCGCCTTCATCAGCGTGCGAATCATCGAAGAGAGCGTTTATCCCCCCGCCGTACTCCCGCTGGACATTTTTGTTTCTGTTGCTGCCGATGAGTACCCCGGGGGCGTGTTGGGAAAGATCCACGCCACTGACCAGGACATTTACGACACCCTCACCTACAGCCTAGCTGCCCTCGCTTCCTCGCCAGCAGACGAGAGTGGAGCCTTGTTTTCGGTGTCGGCCTCAGACGGCAAAATCATCGCCCTGCGGCCGCTCGACGTGGGCCAGTACCCTCTGAATGTGACGGTGACTGATGGACGCTTCACAACGCCGGCGGACGTCAATGTGCACATTCGCCAAGCGACTCGTCAGGCCTTGGACAACTCCATCGCGGTGCGCTTCGGAAACATCGCTCCAGAGGAGTTCATTGGGGACTACTGGAGGAACTTCCAGCGGGCGCTCAGGAACATCGCCGGGGTCCGTAGGAGCGAGGTCCAGTTGGTGAGCCTTCAGCCGGAACAAGGGGATCTGGATGTCCTGCTGACTCTGGAGAGATCTGGGAGCCCCTACCAGTCCCAGGAGGTAAGACCAGCCAGAATAGGAAGTTTCAAAAAGTTGCATTTCATTTTGCACTCATGAGGTTTTTTTTATAACAACTGAAGGTGACATAGTTACTTGATTGTGTTATAAAATAAAGAGCAGTATCATTACGATAATACTGGCCCTTTTAGTAGGGGTGCACTGCTAAATTGGTTAGTTATAGTTTTATACTTAGCAACTTTGCAGTAAAGAAAAATAAAAAATTGGTATTGAACAAAATCAGAATCAGTAGATTTTAAATGTTTGTGATCGACCCATAATCAGCAATTGATGCACCCCGGCTCTTTAGCAACTTCAACATGAAGATGTTTGTTAAATCTATTCAGAAAACGACCACAAAGGAGAATTTTCAGTTAACAAGCAGGATGAACCAATGTGCTCCTGGAGTACCGGTGTCCTGACTGTTTTCAATGCGTCTCTCCTCCAACATGGATGACTCAAATGCTCCCAGTACAATCTCAGTATACAAAGCCTTTTGAAGAGGTCAGCCGATGAACTATCATTTGAATCATGTGCCAACTGAAACATGCAGAATACTGGCTATTGAGGACTGACTGACTTTGGACATCCTGGTCACACTAATCCCTTTGACTGAGTCATTTCCTGCTGAATTTTCATCAGGTTGTCTTTCGCAAGCTTAACTCCTCCGTGGCAATGATCGAGGACATGATCGGGGTCCGCATCGTGCGTGTGGTTCAGAAGCTGTGCGCGGGTCTGGATTGCCCTCTGCACTTCTGCGACGAGGTCATCTCCCTGGATAAAACCGTCATGTCCACATACAGCACCGCCCGCCTCAGCTTTGTCACGCCGCGGCACGTGAGGACGGCCACTTGCCAGTGTGACGGTACTTCAATCACACAAACACACACATTGGGTGTTTTGTTCCATTAAATCTCCTGTTGATAACCGCGATGTGTCGTGACATTTAGGCGGAAAGTGTCCTGTCCTGAACAACCTGTGCGAGAACAGCCCCTGTCCAGAGGGGATGGACTGTGTGGCTGACCCCAGAGACACCGTCTACAGCTGTGTGTGTCCGGAGGCCAAAAAGGGCAAATGTTCCGGTAGGTACTTTTCTTTTTTATATTAAAATCTTTTCTACATAAACTCTCTCTCTCTGGAGTTAAGATCACTGTAAAGTTGCAGTGCATTAGCTGACCTGATAACTGTGTAAATAGTGTTTACAAAAATAAATGAGCTTATTGCAATGCAATGGAAATGTTTTTTTTTTGTTTTTGTTTTTTTGTCACATCACACAATTCGCATGATCAACACAGATGTTACTATTGTCAGTAAAGATGAGGAAGATGACAGGAAGTGGTAGGAGGATGATGGCGCGGCATGTTTTTACTGATTTATTGTGTGAACAAACTTTTTCACATGCAATTTTAATTGTATTTCTTATGAAAACACCAAAATTGCAAAATTGTACACACATTTGTAATGGAATTAGATTTAGTAGACAATATGAGCTGCTGGTGCCACTTGCCTAAATCACAGAAAATTGTCCCATTTCATTGGCCAGTGGATTTCTCTCTGGATCTCGAAAAAAATTATTTATACTTGTTTGTAACTGTTTGTGTGAAAAGTACTTAGTAGATGCTGAGAGACAGCATGCAAACAACTTGTCAACACTGTAAGAATGTTGAGCAAAGATGAATAGCAAAATGTTAGATGCTAACAGTGCTAAAGTGAACTATCAGCTCCATGGTTACTACTGATGCTAAAGTACGAGGCTATTTGGCTTTCTGAAATTATTTTTTTCTGTACAAAACTCAAAAAGGTTTCTTTTTGATCGATGTTGGTCAGGTCTTCACTCCTGAACCTCGTGTTGTTTTGTCTTGTCTCCTTAGTTGCTTGTGTTGGTTTTGAGGTGCTTTGCTGCTCTTGCTGTTCTCAGTAAATGTTTTTTTTTTGTTGTTGTTGTTGTTTTTTTTGTCTCAGATGGCCACTCACTGACCTTCAGTGGAAACGGTTATGTGAAGTACCGTCTGATGGAGAACGACAACAAGGAGCTGATGAAGTTGTCTCTGAGGCTGCGGACCTTCTCCAGTCACGCCACTGTCATGTACGCGAAAGGGACAGACTACAGCATCCTTGAGGTGTGTTCAATCTCATTATGTAGTTGCATATTCAGATTTGAACCTTTGTTCATCACATTAAAAGAAGCAGACCTCCCCCTTAGTGCCCATATTGTCTGTGTACGAGAGCTGAAGGGTTCAAAAGGGCATTTAAAAGCTCCATTCACATGCCTGACTATGGGAATGTGGCTAGCTGGTAGGAAAAAAACTAACACAAGCTATTTTAGTCCTGAAGGGAAGCAGACAGGAGTTTTACACACATTCCTTTTTCAGTCTGTGTGGAGGAGCGCTGTGCATACCAGACAAAGAGGCGTTGAAGTTTCAGGCTGCCATCTAAGGATTTTAACACCAATTGTTTTCATAATTTAGATGTTTGGACAGAAGTCAAAGTTTATCAATGAATAAAGCTTCCTTTAGTGTCTAAACAAAGCTTTATTCATTTTAATGCTCAGATGAGACAATGTTTCGGCTGTATGAAAATGAGTATTTTTCTCAAAACTACGAAAAGCAGTTTTGCGAGCTGAGGCCAAGTTACATGATTGGCCTGCTGACATTTCCTGAACATTCAGAATTTGCTATGATTCTGGAACTCAGCAGCGTTTCGTCTCTTGAAACAGATTGTAAACGGACGGCTGCAGTACAAATTTGACTGCGGTAGCGGCCCCGGCCTGGTGTCGGTCCACAGCGCCCAGGTTAACGACGGGGAGTGGCACTCTGTCTTCCTGGAGGTGGACGGTAATTATGCCAAGCTGGTGCTGGACCAGGTGCACGCCGCCTCGGGCACGGCTCCGGGCACCCTGCGCACGCTCAACCTCGACAACAACATTTACTTTGGCGGACACGTCCGCCAGCACTCCTCGCAGCGTCTGGGCCGCAGCCTGCCCGCCATCAACGGGCTGCGCGGCTGCATGGAGGCCATGGCGCTGAACGGCCTGGAGCTGCCGCTGAACAGCAGGGCCCGGCGGGCGCAGGCCGTGCTGGAGGACATGGTGGACGTGACTCCGGGCTGTGCCCTCGCACCTCAAGAGAGTTGCTCCAGCAACCCCTGCACCAACGGAGGGAGCTGCGTCTCTTTGGTCAACGGAGGTGAGTCTTTCTTTCTCTTTGATGATTTGCACCGATTCACATCGACCCTAAACCAGAAGAATCATAAATTATAGACAGAAGAGAAACATCAAGGCAGTTTCATCTGAAGGTTTTTTTTTAAGAAATATGCTAAATTTGTTCAGATTTACACGAAACACCTGCATAATTAAAGTAACAAAATCCCATTCCTCATCAGAATTCTGATTGCAGGAATGTTCCGCATGTTCGTCCTCATTAGCCTTCTTTTGCCTGAACTTCACAGGTTACTTCTGCAAGTGTCCTTCCTCCTTCATGGGCTCCCAGTGTGAGCTTGCAATAAGCCCCTGCGCCTCCAACCCCTGCCTGTATGGCGGCACCTGCGTTCCCCGAGCCGACGACTTCTACTGCCAGTGCCGAGGCCAGTACTCCGGACAGAGGTAATGGTGATAGAAATATTGCTAATAAATCATCCCAGCTTCCTTGTGTGATTTCTAATGTACAAAAACCGTTCCTCTCATCTCATGTTTAGATTACATTTTGGGGGGGAAGGAATGTTGTGTTAATTTGAGAATTTTTGTGATTTATTTGATAGTACTACAGTAACTTTTGGAAAACAGCCACTGGATGCAAAACTGAATTTGTTTATTTTTTTTCAAGACCTGGAAATAGAAAAACCTGAAAAAAGTTTCAATTTTTAGATGGTTTTGTGCGGGTCCTCTGGAGATGAAAATGTTCTGCTTTGAGAATTTTTTGTTGTTTTTGTTTGAGCAAGCCTTGCCAAAAATTACATTAAAAATGTAATAGAAAATATTTAGTATTTTGTGAAAGCGATGTACATACATTTTATACACATACATATTTTAGACATTATAATGATCACCCCAAACCGTCTACTTGTTGGTTATTCTGGTTCAGTAATCGCAGCCAGGTCCTGGCTGAGCAGGTGTTTTTCTTTACCTTATGTCCATTTCCTATCCAATAGCATTCCAAGACTCAACAATAGGGTTTAAGCTCTTAATTTTGAGTAAAAATATCAAGAAGAAAAGTCAACTTGTCTCCATCTTTTTTTAAATAGAGATGTAATATTACGGCACTGGGGCTCATGGGGTTAAAATCATCTAGAGATCTTTAATCCTTTCTGCTTTGCCAAATCGTTCAAGCTCAGTCAGACTGGATGTGAATATTTTTAAGGTAGCAGATTGCGCTAGGTTTTATTTAGGAGAGTGAGAGTAAAAGAGTTTGACAGATATACATTTTGCATATTTGAAAATAAAAAGTACATGTTATTTTTTTCTCCATTTCACAATAATTACTTCCTTGTGTTTGTCTATCACGGCTAATACAAATAAAATACAATACCAAAGTTTTTTGTTGTGATGTTAGAAAATCACCAACTAAGCACATTAATCCGTTCTTCAGAGATGTAGATGACAAAATGATTTCTGTCCACACTTCTCAGAAGTGAAGCTCCTGTCCATCCTCATTTTCCCCAGGTGCCAGTTGGGGCCGTACTGCAGAGACAATCCCTGTAAAAACAGCGGGACGTGTATCGACAGCCTGGATGGCCCGGTGTGCGAGTGTGTAGCTGGTTTCCAGGGAGACAGGTATGTCTGTTTGGACTGGATCAGCTCGGCACTTTGCATCAGAACCTCACCGAATCCCTCTCCGTTCTGTCCAAGGTGCCTGAGCGACGTCGATGAGTGCATCAAGAACCCGTGTGCCAACGGAGGCCAGTGCCAGAACACATACGGCTCCTTTAAGTGCAACTGCTCTCTGGGTTTCCGCGGGCAGAAGTGTGAGCTCCCAGAGGAGGTGCAGAATCAGTTTGTCTCCACGCCCTGGAACATCGGCCTGGAGGAGGTGATCGGCATTGTGGTCTTCGTGTTCAGCATCTTCATCCTGGTCCTCCTCTTCATCATCATCCGAAAGAGAGCGTGCCGCAGCAAGTCGAAGTCAGGCGGCGCCGACAAGCACGCCAGCGGCTCCGGCGTGCCTCACTCCTTCCTCCAGAGGCCGTACTTCGACTCCAAGCTCAACAAGAACATCTACTCTGACATCCCCCCTCAGGTCCCTGTGCGCCCCATCTCCTACACTCCCAGCATTCCCAGCGACTCGCGAAACAACTTGGACAGGAACTCGTTCGAAGGCTCCACCATCCCGGAGCACCCGGAGTTCACCACTTTCAACCCGGACTCTGTTCACGGCCACCGGAAAACCGTGGCGGTGTGCAGCGTGGCGCCCAACCTGCCCCCACCCCCTCCATCCAACTCTGTGTCAGACAGCGACTCCATACAGAAACCCAACTGGGACTATGACTACGACAGTAAGTCCGCTTCCCTCTGGCTGCTTTTAAATCTAACTAGTTACCTTGTGTGGGAAACAGGGCTGTCAAAATTAACGCATCATAACTTTAACAAAAAATATATTTTTACATATTTGTTAACCCTGTCAGTATGTTTTGGTAGTGTGTTATTTGTGAAATAATCTCCACCTCCTCCCTCAGCTAGCTTTACTGTATGAAGAAATGCACAGCTCCCAGTTTGAAACAGCCAATCAGAGCCAGGAGGAGGGGCTTAGCGCTGCCAATCATCCATGCGCATTCACTGCTAATTGTGCTAATAAAACGACCTTTACAGGAAAACTGTTTATATGCCATCATCAGTGGCATTCACAACAGATTCTTCTAGCTGCTGGATAGGAAGAGTGGGAATGAGCAGCACCACATTTGATATTTTGATTGACAGCGCTGCCCTGCGGTGCTCAGAACACAGGAAGAAAGCCAAAATTATTTTTACTGTTGTAGACAAAACAATGTAGCAATGTATCTTTTTACATCAATCTATTAATGACTTAAGCAACACAAAAACTGCTATGAATAAATAAAACAACATGAACAGTCATTAAAACAAATGATCAAAGTGATGAGAAAACAACTGACAGGCCTAATAAAATGATTTGTAAATCAATAAACTTATTAAGTTTATTTATGTTAGCAACTATTTAATTGGGATTAATTCACAGCAACTCTGTTGTTCATCAGATTAAAAGTATTCATTGTTTGACAGGCTCAGAGGAAAGCGTTCATGCCCAACCTGAATTGAGTAGTGATTATATTTACAGTATCTATTTGAGTAAGAACGTACCTTATGCATCCCAATGCTTGGTTGGTTTGCTTCTCTGCAGCTAAAGTGGTGGACTTGGATCCCTGCCTGACCAAGAAGCCAGTGGAAGAGAGCGCCTGTCAGCTGTACAACACCAGAGGCAGCATGTCTGAGGTCCACTCGCTCAGTTCCTTCCAGTCGGAGTCATGTGACGACAACGGTACGCTGCCGACAGTTCAGTCCTCGCTAACCTGAGAGCTCTCTGCATTTTTAACATTCAGGTGTTCTGCAACGAGTTTATTCCTGTTTTTGTGTGATGCCTGGTAAATTTACAGCTAACACTTAGAATTTTTAATTTTTATTTTTTTTGCATGTGCTCAATAAATGACCCGGTCTTGGCTGTGGGGTCACATGACTTTTTTTTTTTCTGTTTCTTTTCGCTGCGGGGCTTCAGCTCCCATATGGATCAAATCGGTCCACAGATCCAGAACCAGGTTTTAAGCAGGGGGTCCGGCCTGTAAGTCCTCAGTCACCGTCCATACAGATGGAAGAATCACAAGTTACCCATCTGATCAGTTCTGCCGAGATTACTGATCGGAAATTATAGAAACCATTTAGGACCCGGCTCATTGTTCTCACTTTGTGACGTTATTTCAGAAAGAAGACGTTTGTTTCAAAGTCGCTCATCGCTTCCTTTGATTTGACATTTTTTCCTACATATCTTTTATTTTTGTCTTCTGTTTCTTTCTGTTCTTCTTTTTTGGTGAATTTAGAGACAAATGGATGTTTAACATCAAAGAGTATTTTACCAGGGTACTCTTATTTCTATTACATTCTCCCATCTTTTCATTTAATTTTTCTCATTTTCACCTGCAGGTTCATCTCAGTCAATCAGAATATTATGTAATAGAATTTATTTTTAAATAATACAATTGAAATTGTCAAACTTATCTATGTTTATCACATAGTGGTATATTTTAAGCATGTACTTTTGATTTTCTTTGCTGAAAACGAGAAAATAAATTTGTGAACCCACAAATTCATTTTCTCGTACAATTTCAATATTACAGAAAAAATACATATTTTTAAATAGAATTGATATTTTGAGTTCACATTTTGTCCTACATAATCAATGGAAAAATGGCTGACTTGACAGTGACAAAATCCAAAAGCTTTTTACAGCAGAAGTTGGCAAACATATGAATGGAAAGTTTAGTGGAAGGAAAAATGTTGCGCAGGGACAGCTGTAATGTTCAAAGGATTGTGAAATTATGTTTTTTTTTTGTAAGTTTTGCACAGATGGTAATGGAAACACAGCCATCATCACAACTAGCAGAACAAAGTAAAAGGCTTGAACTATATTTATTTGATATACTTAACACAAGATTCAGTGTTTTTCCAATGAAATTACTCAATAAATTAACTTTTTGATAGTATTTTATTTGCTGAGATGCACCTGTAGATGATGAAGGTCAGTCCATCATCACTTCGTTCATCCACACCGTCAAAAATCAGAACTTATCCAAATAAAATAAAAAAATAAAAAAAAACAATTTATGTTCAGATCTCTGGGGAATTACCCTGATTCTTCCATCTGTACTGTGAGTGGCTCCCTCTGGTTCCCAGTACATAGTAGCTGTGTGTTATGTTGCACAAACAGAACCTGACCCCTTCCCCCAAACCCCTTCATCACCCTCGCTACAGTGTTCCCCTCTGACACGGTCTCATCCTCAGCCATAACCCCCTCAGACTCCATGCTGACACTGTGTGAAGAGCCAACAGGACCCCGGTGTGTGCTGCCATCACTCCGACCACATTCCATCTGTGTTTGCTTGTTTTTTTTTTTTTGCTTTTTTGATAAATGAACAAGGCTTTCATTTTTACTAATGTCAGGTCTCTTTGATCCACTCTCTCCCCAACCCCCCTCTGCCTCTCACAAGCCTCCATTGTGACAGTAATCCACCTTGTCAATTCTGTTGTTGACACTGTGGAAGGAGAAGGTACTCTTCTGGCTTGTGTCCACCGGTGCTGTTGTCCCTCTGTGTTTTGGTGTCCAGTGCAGGTTGAGACTCTGTCATTGTCTTACACAAAGGGCCCTCATCAAACTATGACTTCCTCGTGTTTGGATTGAGATCGTTTTGGGCAGGAATGTGATGGTAATTTGTGGAATTTGGTGATTCATTTAAATTCTTCAGTAGCTTTTCAAAAACAGCCATTGGAAGAAAAGTGGATTTTTGTTTTTTCTTTCTAATCCACACAGAGTCAAACCTATACATACAGACTCCAATTAAAACATACTATTAATGGTTGTATTAATGGTTAATGGTTGCTTAGAAACTTGTACACCAACCACACATATTTTTTAGCCATCCACCAGGTTGTTGAACTGATCAGGGTTCTTAGCAGGAAGGTCAAAGTTTGTCTAAATTGTCAGAGGAAAACTTATGTATCCTTCATAAAACCTTTTATGTGCATCAATACTGGATGGATGGATGAGTGGGATCGATAAAAACCGCATCTCTAACCGTGAAGTAAGATACATTTTTACACATTATTATTATTATTACTGTCTGACTCATCATGATGTTAGGAGGCTGTATGTATATATTTGAGCCCACAACTTATAAGCTGCATCAAAGAAAATCAACAAAGAATTGAAAGTTGTTCTCCCAATTCTTTTTTTAGAAATGAACTAGTAGACGAATCATTTAAGTGAATTATTCTGAGCCCAAATGAATCAGACATTTATGGCAGTGATGGCTGCATCTAAAATCTTCTGACCAAAACTGTGTGTGTAGAAATTACAGAAGGAATCCCCCCGATGTGTAAGGAAATGACAAAGCTCCTATGTGTTTTTTTATTTGCGTCTCATTCCTTCCCCTCCTCTGTTTTGTTGTTATTCTCAGCATATTGTGGAGGTTTTAACGTGACCTGTTGTTTCTCTCTCTCCCTCCTGCCTCGCATAAAGAGTCTTTTTTGGCTCATGATCTCAAGAACCCGAGAGGTGACTTTTTACACGTTTGTTTGTCTGGTGGTCTCTGTTACTCCTGATCCCATCCTGAAGCGCTTTACCACTAACTCAAATCTGAAGTGAGAAGGTGTTCGCTGTGAGGTGAAGGTGACATCTTCTAAAGCGCTACCTCGCATGGTTTGAGGCTGCGACATGTTGATTACTCAGTGCCTAACCGGACGTGTTCCCACTTGTGTTTGTGTCTGTTTTCATTTTTTACAAAATCTTAAATTTTCATATTCTACTATTAGCATAAAGGGAGTATTATGTTAAAACAAGACAAACAGATCTGCATTAGACGGATAATCTAGCAGACGCAGTAACCTTAGTTTATCATATCATTCTAAAGTTTGACTTGAATCTACTGAGGCTTTATTGCCGCATGTATTGTAATATTTTTGTTTCAAGATTCCATTTTTGGAATAGATAGTAAAAGCTTGAAATGCTGTAGTCATGTTGATAAATATGACAAGCAAAAAAAATAAAAGGTCTAATCAAAAGATACACAATCTAGAATGTCCTTCAGATAGAATATCAATATTGGATTGTTGCATTGATGCTATTTATTTGTCTAAACAACAACCTCCGTAACACGTTAATAACCGATGTGACCCAGATGCTCCATGTTCTACTAAAACCAGCTTTTTATAACCTGAACATGGCAGAATGTGACGAATGTCTGCAGGATGTAGAACCTCTTTGTCTTCACACAGCAGCAGCTCCAGCATGTCTTTGATTTTTAACATGAACATTTCTGACATCTCCACTGCGGAGGCCTAACGTCTGTGTTTGTGCTGCGGCCTCTCTTTTTCCCACAGGATATCACTGGGACACATCTGATTGGATGCCAAGTGTTCAGCTTCCTGGAATCCAGGAGTTTCCACATTATGAGGTGGTGGAGTCTCCCGCGCCTCAGTACAACGATCCGAGCGCCATGGACACCGACTACTACCCCGGCGGCTTTGACATCGAGAGCGACTTCCCTCCACCGCCGGACGACTTCCCCGTAAATGACGACCTTCCGCCGCCGCCTCTGCCAGAGTACGGCGACCGCTGCGACACGCTGCGCTCCCTGAACAGAGAGCTGGAGAAGACCGGCTCAGGAAGCTCCGGCCGCCGGCGCCCGGCCCGTCCCCAGCATTACAGCCTTAACCAGTACCTGCCGCATCACTCCTACCCGAGCAGCGGTGGCTGCGACACCGAGGGCCAGGGCGCATCCTCCGCTTCCGCTGCCGTCACCCCGGCCTCCACCGTGGGCAATGGTGGCTACAGAGGGGAGTACGCCTTAGGCTGCGGCCGGGACTTTGACTCTTCCGCTCTGGACGACATGTCCATGTCTCTGTACGCCTCCACAGCCTCCTGCTCAGACATGTCGGCGTGCTGCGAGGAGTCGGAGGCCATGATGAGCGACTACGAGAGCGGCGAGGAGGGCCACTTTGAACAGCTGACCATCCCGATGCTGAACTCCCAACAGCACACTGAAGTCTGACACTGGATCCAAACAAAAGTGCCTGAACCCACAGCTACACATACCACCAACACTAATAACACACAGTATGTGGACACCAGAGAGCACCACACAGAGAGCTGACCGGAGTTGGAAGGGGCGGCTCGGGGATTCTGGGAGGTTCTGCTCATTCCTGCTTCGTCGTTTTGTATCTTTCTGGATTTGGTCGTTTCTTAGAACGTTTGAGCCGCTTTGACAACAAATGATTCAAAGTTCATCTCCTTAAGCTACTGGTAGTCTGCAACAATGAAATGATTATTTGATTTCAGTAAATAACAAGAGATTGCTTAAAATGATGTCCCTGTGATCAGTGATTCTAGGATGTCATGTTTCTTATAAAGCTGGTAGTTTGAGCGTCGGTACGAAGCTGACAATGGGCCAAAGCGATACAGTTTATATTATTGAATTTCTCTTTGGGATCAATAAAGTATTTTGGAATTGGATTGAAGTTGCTAGCTGATTCTCAAAGTCGTTTCTGAAAAGTTGTTGAAAAGTTAGTTCCATCAAGGCCTACATCATTTACCTACATCAAACCTTCACACACAGTTAACAGCAGGTTGCTCTGTCACACATTTCTCTTCATGTAGAACCCTGTGAATGTTAGCCGGACAGAAATGACGACTGTTTGGTACGAAACAGAGGCACGAATGAGCAGAAGGAGGAACAAGAGACCAGAGAGAATATCAAGAAGTAAAAGGAGCCGTTTTGTTGCTTCTCCCTCTGCCCCTTTAAGACGACATCACCAGTACTTTAAAAGAGACCTATTATGCTTTGCTTTTCTGTTCTAGAAATAGAATCCCCCAGTTTGGACTTTCATGTAAATCAAAGTTTATATAATTAAATTAAAAAAAGAAAAAGAAGAATGAAAACAGTTAATGTGAGCAAAATCAGTTCAGTCTGAATCTGTTAGCAGCTCCAGCGCATCCAGAAACATTTGAGCAGAATGATGCTTTGACCTTCTATGCACTAAAACTACTGAGAGGCAAACCGTAGAGCGTCACAGCCTGGAGGACCTGTGGTGTCACAGACAGCAGGTTCCTCCTCGGTTTCCTCATCAACACCTGTGAACTTGGGCATTTCTGAAGAGTAGCTGCAGGATTTAGATTGGAAGTTTCATCTTGCTGCGCTGTCACTGTTACAGTCCATGTTGTTGCAGTTTATTCTTTTACATTTCCGGGGATGTTGTCGTTTTAGCTGGAGCTCATTTACAAAACAGATTTAACTGATTAAATCACTAAAACAAAACCTAAATTAATGGATGGAAAAAGAATGGAGCAAAGTGGAGCTACAGGGGGAACAAAAGAGAAAAAGCTGAAATGGAGCATAATATGTCTCATTTAAGTTCAATCTTTATTTTGCTAACAAGGTGAGTTTTCTGAAGGATCAACATTTCAGTGTAGAACAGAAAATCATTCTAGAAAATAAAAATCGTGACAATATTTTTGTTTCAATAAGACAAAAAAAAAGAAAAAGACAAGCGAGATGTTTTTATACGAATCCTCATTTTCAGTGTAAATCTATGTGTACAGTTTTGATTTCAAGATTTACTAGGTTTTGTAGATATTCTATGCTTTTATTTTCAATGAAAAAAACTGATTAAATGGTGTGAAATCAACCATTCTGTGCTTTCATTCACAAAAAAAAAGAGAAGCGAGGCTTTTCTGATCACAGTGTACTCGTTAAAAAAGTTTATCGTCTCTAAATGCTCTTTCCAGAAATGGGTCTTCAGTGAACGACTGCATAATCTTGTTATTTTTTTTCTTCTGTTTGTACATTTTGATTCTGAATCTTGTTTATTTTTCCACCGAGATAATGGGACCCGATATATTTATAGTGCAGAGTTATTCATGGGCACCGGGGGGCGTTTTTCATGTGTCTGTGTGTGTCTGAGCAACGCTATGGTCTTGTTAAGGTTTTTATTGAGTACTGCCACAAGCTCACGCTTTCCTACTGGCAATAAATTATTCCTAAAAAATGCAAATGATTCTCTGGTGTGCTTTTTATTGCTGGCTTGTTTTCATAACTGCTTGTTTTTGATGTGTTTGTGAAGTAATTCCACTGCAATACGTCTGCTGCAGGATTTTTCTTCAAAATAAAGTTATTGTAGACGCTTTAATGACTATCTTAAAGGGATAGTTCAGATTTTAGTTTTTATGTGAGGCTCTGTCAGAAGGTTCAACGAAGTTCAGGTCCTATCTGCAGTAGATGTCACATGGAGCAGATTTTATTTTTACTTTAAATCTGCTCCATGTAGATCATCTCTCGATCTTTGGAAAACCTCCACGAAACACCGAGAAACTATTTTTATTTTAAATTTAAAGAAGCAAAGGAATTCTTCTTAAGATAAATATATATTTCTTTCAGTCTAATTAATTATAAAATAATACATTTATCACTATTCACACAACAATTTTTTAAATGACTTAGCAAAGCGACACTAACACTAATTCTACAATCTAATTCTCATTTTGAAATGAACATTAGAGAAGTTGATTTCTCTTTGGGTTTGAAAGAAATAACATGTAGTCCAGTTGATCACTTCTGATATCTGAAGTTAAAGTTTATAGTCTGAAGTTTGTAAAAAAATTATTTTCAATCATAAATCATTTTCTTTCCACTTCACAAAGGAAACCATTTTGTTTTGGTTTTCACATTAATGTGTGATTCTAATTATGTTTCTGGCCTCATGAAAACACCACAGTTGGGAAACTATGTTTTTTAACAACGGAACCAAAATGGATGAGAGAAAAATGCTCTTCAGTCTCTGAGTGAACATGTGGGGTAGAAACAGAAACTGTGACCTCTTTCCATTTGTCTGCCTGCAGCCGCTTGTATCAATAAGCCCAGGCTGTCTGACATGAGCCTGATTAAAATGACAGGACCTGATACCTCCAGGCTGGGTCCAGAGTTACAGCCGACAATGCACCGTGTGTTTTCTGTTGGCTGTGTTGCACCGTGGAGTCCTGATGGACAGAGCTGTGTTTCCCCGTCTGAAGAGCCTGCAGAGGTGAGAAGCTGACTCTGGGTCCCTTTAATGAATCACACTGTGAGACGAGGAAGACTCCAGCACAACGCTCTGCTGTTGGACTGAAGTCAAAGAGAACAGATTCCTCACATCTGTGTGACCAAACAGCAGCTTTTACACAGCGACTGTCTGTTGGGACAGAAACTGTTTCTACCAGAGAGCTGACAGCCATCATGAAGAAAACATCACCAAGTGTTTATTTACAGCTCATTTTTACTGAATAAAATCTAAATAAATCATTGATCTGAAACTGTTCACCCAATTAAAATAAGAATAAAGACCAAAATATCAGCTTCTGTTCTAATAAAGTAAAACATGTTTCATTTTGATTTGTGCAACGTTAGAGCATAATAACAATATTAATGGTGTTCTATTTATTTCTCGTTTAAATGTGAAGTTTCACGTTTGTTAGTTTTCAACAAATCAGTCCCAGTTTCTGTGATCTTTCTGTTCCATTTGTGGGGAAATGTTTCATCTTTATACACTTATACACTTCCACAGTACGCAGAGATGAAGCTGAAGACCTGAGCGCTGGAAGGTGAAGTTACGGTGGCAAAATTAAGAAATAAGAAACCAAAAAATGTTATTTTTAAAAAATATTTTGTCCGCACCGTTTTTGAAAGAACTTACATTGGTGAAAATTGCATCTTAACGTCTTTCTGTGTGTATCTGCATCATCAGTTTGAGTTGGCAAACCAAATTCCTGTGTCACACAAAATCATTCCGAGGGCCACAACTGGCCCGCGGGCCACATGTTGGACACCTGATAGAGGCATAACTGTAAAACAAACGGTGGACGTTTCAAAAACTTCATCCCAGCTTCATAAAGCTTGAGTTGTGTGGCAGAAAGCTTTCCACCAGGATCAGGCATCTGAAGATGCTCAACAGTGAGGATCCATCCCGAACCTCACCGATCATGAACAGCTTTAATCTCATGCGTGATTGATTCGATTAACTCTGCAAAGAGCAGCAGGTGTTTTTCTGTCACTGAAATAATCGAGTATATTAATGCATTATCCACAACATGAAACCATGGAAGCAGCTCTGAGGGAAGCAGGAGGCGATCTGCTTCAGCTGCTCTCATTAATGTTCACTCAAAAACATGGGACTTAGTAGTGCTCTCTACCAACCACAAGATGGCAGTATATGGCCGTTTTTTTTTTTTTTTTTGATGCTGCAGAAATTAGAAACAAAACAGTTTGATCAGTTTTGTTGAAACTTTGTATAGTCACCAGTTTTCTCCTCACACATCTGAGGAAAATATGTGACACTATTGATGACACACTCAGCTTCCTCTTCCACATGTTCAAACCAAACTAGCCATTAATAACAGATTATATGACTTTTTATCATATGTGAACTTTCTGATCATGCGCCTGAAGTGGTGGGTCAGCCATGGGTCAGCCGTGGGTCAGCCGTGGGTCAGCCGTGGGTCAGCCGTGGGTCAACCGTGGGTCAGCGTCCGTTGCGCAGATGAGGTTAAGACAGCTTTCCTGTGCTGAGACTTGAACTTTGAACTTTTAATCAACATCAGAATTCACAACTCACTGCAGAAAGAAGAGGACACCAGTGAAAAGAAGGCTCTTAGTAAGATAAATACAGGATGGATCAATACTTTCAGGCTAAATACACAAAATATTCAGTGTACCATCTGAATTTTGCAGATTATTAATTCATTGTACCAGGCAAAGATTTTCTCTAACATGATTCCCCCCCACATAGCTGCCACTCACCAGATATTTTCTCTATTTTTGATTATTCTCTGTAAACTGGTTCTGTGTGAAATTCTGAATTGTGAGCAGTTTCTGAAATACTAAAATCAGTTGCAAGTATCCTACTCTAAAATCACCAATGCTCAGTTTGATTTGTCTTGAGCACCAGATAAGTTGAGTTGCTGATATCTGATTGGCTGATTTGTTGTTTTTGATAAGCAATTGAATGTGTCCTATCACTATAGACCAGGATTTCACATGAAGCTGTTACTAAAGTTACAGTAGCACATGTAGCATCAATGTGTCTGATACGTCCTGAAATGTAGCCTGTGTGCATAAATTCAAGCTGGGAGTCTCTCTTCAGCCTACCAGCATCATCGATTACCATGCCTCGGCCTCAGCCAACCAGCAGTTGACTGTTGCTCCGCTCTAGCCAATCACTACGCAAGAGCTCCTTCAAAAGACCAAACAACCACAGATCGACCTGCTTCAGCCGCGCTTCGACCCGCCTCCTCCTCGCCTCCCCCTTCATCCTCCCGGCATCTTCCAGACGCCCTCCAGTCTCCAAACCACCTCCAGTGTCCAGGTTCGATCCCATCATCCAAGGTCACGGTGATTCTCAGCACTCAGGTCTTCTGCCGGCGTCCGAGCGCCAAAGAACTCCGGGTCAACAAAACTTTCTAACTGCTGCTTTTTCTCTGTGAGTCTCTCCAGATTGAAATGAGCAAGTTTTGAATTTCCTGCTAAATAATTTATTAATTATAAATAATCAGATGAAAATGGTCAACTTTCTATATTGGTCACACTTTGCACTTACAACAGCAGTGACTAACTAGAGGCTGCTCAGTTATTTAGATTCTACACACCCCAGTAACGGGAACTGCTTATTCACATTACTGAGAATGTGCAGTTAATGGGATCAGGCGGTAAAATATCTCCTCAATTCAGCTCTTGAAAAATCTGCCCAGTCATTCATGAGAAATTCTGTGGAAAACCCCGTCAGACGTGTCTGATCTGTCCAGACGCTGTTCCTGATGCTGACCCCACAGAGTTCTGGAGCTCTGGAGAACAGGAAGGTGAAACAGCTGCCAGCTAATCCCTGCTGCTAGCCTGGGAAGTCTGCTCCGCATTGTAACAGAAGAACAACTGATTTATATTCAGTGTTCGACTGCAGCTTCCACACAAATGACCAAACACCTGGAGAGTTATGATTTCAATAATTTCATACTGAGCTTTTAAGTTGTGAAATATTGTTTAGGAGAAAACACTTCCCTAATCTGTACACATTGAAGTAAACACTGTAGAGTTTATTTGCCGAAAGGAAAACGTCTCTCTCAAGTTTTAGTCTTTGGGTGTCTCTGATATATTCACTTCCCTTTATTTAACTCCATCCAGCTCTATTGGCAAAAAGAAAAACAAAACATTCCCGTAGCATAATGCTGCCACTACCTTGTCTTTTGCCACATCTTTAGGATGTCGGGTGAAACGTTCCTCACCAGAGCAAAATCATCCACCTGGTTTGGGTTAAACAACTTTATTCCTTCCACTTTGCCATGAAGGCCAAGTCAGTGAAGGGCATGAATATGAGCTGTAATTAATTCATAATGGCAATTAATCAATAACCTATAATTAGCTGCATCCCGTCCCTACCGAAGATAAGCATCCCCTTTGCATGATGCTGCCACCACCAGCAGGGATCTAAAACGTGTTCACGGTGCTGTGCAGCAACGCTTTTCATTTGAAATCAGAGCTTTTGGAGCTTGAGGTAGAAACTGGAGGAACAATTTCATCAGCAAGAATTGTGCTTTGAGACGTTTTTAAAATGTATTTATTTATTTATTCATTTTTAACTGCTGAGGAATGTTGGAGTTTATCACAACCAAAACAATGCCAGACATGGGATCCATTGGTGTAGAAAACTAGTTTCTGCAGAGTGAAAATGAACTGGATCAGTTCCAGGAGCCACAGATGACCGTGTCCATTCAGGCCCGGCACTAAGTTTAAAGTCCGTCGGTATGCGCGCCTGACGCTGTGGGAAAGCTCAGCGTGTCAATGTGCGTGAGAGGGACAGAGGCACATGCAGAGACCACTGACCCCAATAATCCTCTTTCTCCCAGCGTACACATCTTTTTTCCTGGGTGGAGCTCTGCTGTTGTCATGACGACCGGCTGAAGGGGGGAAGGGCAGGACGAAGTAGGTGGTAGATAAAAGCAAACACTCTTGTTTCTCTGTGGGACGCAGCGC